TGCTTCAGTAGTGATTTGGAGTTGGTTGTGGTTTGAATGTTTAGACTCGCGAGTAAGCAGGGGCAAGCCCATTTTGTCGCATGTCCAATCTGACAACCCTGGCTGATGCACGGATCGTTCCTGCCCAATTCCCCGTGTGGGAACCTTGGGCATTCCTCCCGCGGTTTACGACGCACAAAGGCACGCGCCCCTTGGGTGAATTCAGGTCATCTTAATTGAGGCTGGAGGCCAAGGACCACATGGTCCAAGACCTGAAGCGCCCAACAGGTGCCTTTGGTAGCTTTCCCAGCCATCGCAGAGAAAACCCGGCTGGAACCCCATGCAGGTCCGCAGATCCCACTGGGAGATTTGCACCCTGTTTTTGTTTCTTCATATGAACACCACGGATGACTTCCGGCGCCAAGAAATCCGTCAACAAATCGGGACACTTTGGACCTGGGCGCGCTGCAGTTCTCATGCTTGCTGAGTTGCTAGTGCGGACAGAGGGGCCGGAGGGTTTCCTTGTGGACGATGTCCTAGATCAGAAAGACTAGCGCACCTGTGCAACATTTTAGACTTGGTGAGCCGTTTGTGGGCGGGAAGCCTCGCTGATTGTCGCGCCTACACCGGCTCCATTGCCTTGTTTCTAATGGATTGATATGGATCAGATGAAAGCTGCCCCCCCCAGATTAACCCGTCCGATTGATAAGGGGTGTTGGCAAGGGGAGACCCCTACTGAAGGTTATTGTTGAGGAGGGCCCCTTATTTCAGATTGTTTTTTTGACATGTTGCTTTCAAATGGCTTTGCTGCGCTCTTCTCTTTGAAAAACTGGCGCACACACACACACACACAAACACACACCTGCGCGCGCTCGGGCCATTCGGACATCTACTCTTCAACTTGTAAGTCTGAGGTTCAGTCGCTCAAGCCCCCGCTTGGAAAATCATTCCAGCACCAACTGCCGAAACCAGTTCCTTCGGGTTGCCTTTCTCCCATGGGCTTTATTCGTTTGAGTTTGAACTCACTTCACTCACACCAGCCTGCTGGTTCATTCTCTTCTCGGTCTTTTTTGCCGGCGGTCTTTCGAGACAGCGGTTTTTAATGACTTCTTTTTGAAAAAAAGAGAATGTGTCCAATTGAGCATTCTCATCAAACAAGATCAATATTCAGCCCAAATTATGAAGCCTTAGCAAGCCCTTCAACGCTTTAACAATTAAGGCTTGATAAGGATTCGGGCATAATTCTGCATCAAGGAAGTTTAGAAGGAACTTCCGTAGTACGAACGCAAAGTGAAAGGCATATTTGCGCACAGATAGGATGAGGAAATAATGCGTGCGAGAAAACATGCATGGGCGTGCAAAAAAACATGCGTGGGCTTGTGGCAGGGGAATGGGAAGCGCAAAAAGAGTGACCCTCTGCGGGTTTTGCCGGGTCCGCGTCGAAGTCAACCACCTCTGTCTCGACGCCTGTCTGGCACGGGTTCGTCGCGGGTGCTGCGCATGCAGCGCTGTCGCAAGTCAGGTGGTCAGGTGATGGTTGGTGCAGATTTCGTGGCGCCGCACTTTCGCAAGTCATGTACGGATTTCGCGCAGTGCTTCCGCAAGGTGAGGTACAGATGTCGCGGCAGGCGCAGCACTTTCGCAAAGTGAGGTAGGCCCCGTGGCAGCGCAGCACTTTCGCAAGATTGATAGAAAGATAGATAGATAGATAGCTAGACAGATAGATAGATAGATATACTGATATAGACAGAGAGGGAGGGAGGGAGATAGGTAGGTAGGTAGATGGAAAGACAGACAGGCAAATGAAGATATAGAATCATAACCAGGTAGATAAGTCGATAGAGAGAACTAGAACAGATTGATCGGTACATGATAGGTAGACAGATAGATGAGGGATGGATTGAGACAAAGATTGATCGACAGACAGCCGGGTAGATAGACAGACAGGAGATAGAGACATAGGTAGCGAGAGAGAGAGATCGATAGAAAGGTTGATCGTTACATTGACAAATGAAGGATGGATGGATGGGTGGATGGATGGGTGGATGGATGGATGGATGGATGGATGGGGGAATAGCTTTGCTGGATGGATAAATACCGAGGTAGATAGATCGAGCACGCGCGTAGGAAGATGTAGACGGAGGAATCGATAGATACATAGAGAAATAGGTAGGTACATAGCTTGACAGATACAGAGACCGCTATGTAAATAGAAAGAAAGCAGAAAGAAAAGAAAGAAAGACTGAAAGAAGAGAGAGAAAGAAAGAAAGAAAGAAAGAAAGAAAGAAACGGAAATAGAAAAAGGAAAGACAAACACAAATTACAGAAAGGACGACAAGGAAGGAAAGACAAGCCTAAATCAAGTAATGGAAAGAAAGGACAAGGATCAAGGAAGACGAAAAAGCGAAAGAGAAGAAACATGAAGAACAACATACCTATAGTCTTTTTAAGTTCGAAACTTCTGACCACCGGAATCCGGGGCTCTAAGCGATGTTATTTGCCTCCCTACCTCGGGAGGCCCTTCCGGGACGCACGGCTCTGTGCAGTTTGTTTATTCCAGTTGCTTTCCCATTCTGTTCACCCCCCCTTTGCGGCAAGCACTCAAACTGTTGAGAAGCCCAGATGTTGGCCCGAAATGTGCACTATTGTATTCCCTCTCCAAGAACCTTGTATGGCAAAGGTTCTCTCGAGAATAACCGGGAAAGCCCGGTTCTTGGAAACGCATACAATCGTACGGGCTCGCATGGTGAAGTAGAACTCCCATCCACTGACATGGAACCTTACTGAGGAGTCCTGGAAGACGTTTTTCCTTTAATAGGGGGCCTTTGGTGGGTTTCATGCCGATGCACTCAGTGCAGGAGTCTACCTTTTATGTCAGCGTCCTTGGGGCGAGTGACAATTTCACATTCCAACTTGTGCAAATTGTGTTTCGTTGCGAGGTTTCACCCTATGTGCACCACGCGGCTCCCAGCTGCCTTTTTGACGGTGGCATTGCAGTTTGCCGTGCAATCCGCCAAGGGGATTTCAGGCATACCCATTTTCCTTGACAATCCTCACTTCTCATTTCTCTGCAGGGTCGGAATCTGCTACAATTGCTTTAGCCCCCATGGAGGGTTTCCCCTCTTTTCATCAAACGTAGTAAATTGATCAATTTTTGATTTCGGAGTATCCAGTTTTATGCCTTCGGTCTCAAGATTCCCAAATGTGGGTTGTACATTCAGACGAGTTGACGACAGACAGACTCAATAGCCTTTCTGCAGACAGGATGGGCGTTTGGAATATGCGGGGTTTCTCTTTAAAGTGGGACCCGATACCAGAAGTTGGCGCGACTTGGAGATGTGATCATGAGTGATGCGTAATCTCGGTTGTTCAAAGCAAATCGACCTTTTCACAATTTGCTTGACCATTTACCATGCATTTTTTAGTGGCCCCAAAGGTGATCACCTTTCACCTTTGGGTCCCGAAAAAGCAAGTACGTGTGCAGATTCCATCAGATTCCAGGCTTCAGCCGTTTTCCAACGCATGCAACACCATGCGTCCCAGCCCTTGCACCTTTCGCTTGCGAAGTCTTTGCTCCCCTTTGACCATTCCTGTTTTTGGTTGGACGTGAGGTAGGCAGAGGGCTTCCCCACAAGGGCGGTAGCCTCCCGGAAAAATTGCAGGCGAGGTCCCTTCCAACAAGTCCGTTTACTGTGGGCTCCAGTGAAATTGCCATCTCCAGAGGTCCTGAAAGGCAAACGTGGGAGAGCCTGGACAAAGGAATCTCAAAGTGCAGAAACCCTCGCCTTGTTCAACCAAAAAAGCTCTCAAGAGCTCAGGACCAACAAGATATCAAGCCGGCCCGTTCCTTCGAGCTCGAAATCCCGCGAATCGGAACAAAGGTTCGGGGAATTGAGTATAAACTTAGCGTCACAGTGGGCCCTTTGCCCATTGGTCTGTATTTGGGTGTAAGGGTAGCCAACAGAAACCCCCTCTAACTCACGGTTTGAAGGTGGTGTCTTGGAGTTGGAGGGGTCAAAATCGTTCATGTCCTGCTTTTTGAGTCGGGTATGGAATCCTTTTCCCTGCAAAGTGATAATAGACGCACTGTGACCGTGGCTCATATGGAACGGGTCTGCAACATTGTTGGCCACGGTGAAGCTCCTTGGGCTGGCACGAAAAAACAAAACCGGTGCGCGCGATGTTTCGAGCGCACGTGCCGGCGGATTGAAGGTTGTGGTTTGGTGTCCATGTTGGTTTCCTTACAAATACCAACCAAAAGGTGGTTAGACCTCAGAAACTGAAATTCATCGATTCAACCCAGAGACTGACCTGCCCCCATTTTCGAAGTTGGCCGAACCGTTGTCTTAAGGGCAAAGCGCGGGGGTTCCAAGAAAGAGATCTGCAAAGATAGCAAATGCCAGCGGAAGCCTTTCGCGGCTAGAAGCGCCCAAGGCCTCAGGGCCACCTGAAAAACCCATATATGACGTTGTTGTTTTGTTCTGTCCATACGGCTTGGGCCACAAATGGCCACACGGTCATATACGGTTGCTTGTTGTTTGTTCAACTTTTTGTTGAACAAATACCCGTTGCATGCGGCCAAATACGGCCACTGGCCAAACGATTCAAATACGGGTTCCGTCCGGAGAAAAAGGACAAATCACGGCCATACAGCTTTCCAGGCAGGCCCATGGCCGGGTTTCAGCCAGCAAACGATTTCAATGGGAGCTACTCCAAAACGGATGTCCATTCTTTTTCGGCGCAGATTTCCACTGGCCAGGCCTTTTTCAGATCTTCAAGCTCTAGTTCGCAAGTGGCTTCTTCTTTTTGTTTTGAGGAAGGCGGGAAGACCTGCCCACTGGCACAAGGCCACATGTTGAAGCAACAGACTGGGCCCTTTTTCTGAAGACTGCAACCTGGAAATTCCATGTGAGACTCGGAATCTTCGGAGACAGTCGATCTAAAACTAGCGTGTCCCATGACGCCGAACCCTCTCGAGTTGTGATCCGGCACTCGCGAGAACACATCCCGATCGAGTTGAGGCGGGAAGAAGAGCAGGACGGGTCGGTCGCGTGTTGCTTGCGCCCGCACAGCTGGGTTCTCAGAACAGGGACCTGTCCATTTCCGAACATGGCAATGGTTTCATTTGGTTTCCCGTGAAAAGCCACGAAAGACGGGGCCCATTTCCTTCCGGAAGCCGAGCTCCTGCCAGACTTAACGAGCTGATTTCGAGCCCTTGGCTCTTGGGCCTCTTGCGCCAAATGCCATTGGGCCCTGTTTGGGTGGCTTGGTTGGATGGTGGGTTGGTTGGTTAGTGGGAGGGTGGGTGGGGGTTGGTTGGTTGGTTAGTTTGTTGGTTAGTGTTTTGCCGCAGCCTTTCTTCCGACGTTGCTGTTGTTGCTCTCTTTTTTTCAATCGGGCATCTTCTACCTTTTCTTAGCCCTTTGCAAGCGAGTGAAAGGTTTCTCAGCTCCTTGTTTGGGATCCCAAGAGCGATTTGGCAGCGGCTGCACTGGTATCATTTGACCCCCCCTAAGCATTCAACAATTTCAATTCGTCACATACGCCAGGCGGGCGCTGGCCTGCGCCAAGGAGATGGCCCAAGACATCGCTAAGTCGGCCCTGGGCCCGGCGTTGCCAGCGGGCGGGGGGGGGGGGGACACACGCACACGCTGGCACGCCCACGCACAACCACCCACACCCGCAGCTGCACACACACCCACGCCCGCACGCACGCCCGCACGCCCACGCGCACCCACACGCCGGCACGCACACGCGCACGCACACGCACATGCCCAGACACATGCCCAGACACACGCGCACACAGACAGACACACACGCGCACACAGACAGACACACACACACACACACACAGACACACAGAACTGAACACTTGGCATGGTTCCCAGCCATGCCCAGAACGACTTTCGGAGTCAGGGCTTTTCGATCGCTAAAATGTCAGCTTTGCAAGGGCCTATATGAACAATTGAGTTAAACTAAGACAAGAGACTAAGAGACGTTCCGAGGTTGTTCACAAGCAGTTGGCTCAGTTCCCAGTGGATTCCACCATGTGGGGAAACTAGGCTTTTAGGCTAGAAGTTTTGCCACAGTCTGTGATATGCCCTGAGATTCCCGGAAGTGATGTCGTTGTGCTAGTGAGCTGAAGTGGCAGGTTTGTGAGTTCGTTGACCCCTTGGTCATGGCTGTGGCCTGGGTATCATAAGCCCATTTCGCATCCTTGGCTAACTCCAAGGGGCAAAGGGCCTCTTTAGCTGCGAGCGGGGCTGTCGCTAGCTCTGTGACGGCTGTGAGAAAACGGGCGCCGCGTTGTCAGTTTTCGTTGCCCTGGAAATGGTCAGAGAGAGCGCCCGAAGGGACTACCATATCACTTGGGTTTTCTTTGGAAGCTGTCATGTTTTAGCCTACCTCGGGTATGCCAACCTGGTCCAAGAGTATTCGCATGTACCTCATGTCTCCAAACGGTGAAGCCTGTTTCCCTTGTTGCCTGCTGTAAATGATGTACCGCTTTTGGAGGGGACACTCCTATTAATAGGACAGGTTTACCATAGGTTTACCATGAAAGGTTTTATTGCCATGGCCCCCAAAACTAGTTTTCATCACTGTGAGTTTTGGTTTAGATTTAGAGTGCATGTGTTGGTGGAGCGCATGTAATAATAGCGCGCATGATTCAGTTGTGTGTTTGCACGGCGCTTGGGGAGGGGGGGAGGGCGGGCGGGCTTGGGAGCTTCTATCGCTTGAAGCACCCAATCACCATGGCGCAAAGGCCATCCCACTTTGATAGCATGAGCTCCATCTGAGTTCCTAATAAAATAGCAAGGGTTGACAGACTCCGAAACCACGACCCCATTTTGGGTGCATGGCCTTTTGTTTTCTTCCGGGATATGGGCAATTTCATGTGTCTTGTCCAGTTTTCGGGCTCCAAGGTGGAGATCACTCATTTTGAGGGTTACCTATCAAGATTAGCCCATGTGCCGGTACCCATCAATCTGTGAACCCCCCTGTGGTTGAACATGTGTTGCCACAAGGGCGTGCCAAATACTAATGTTGTGTTTTGTTTGGGGGGGTTACGTTGTGCTTGTCATTAAGTTTGTTGTTTGTTTTTCCTTTGGTGCCGTTTGATTTCATGAACCTCGCTTGGATGAAGTTTGCGTCTGAAGGTGCCAGATTCTTGGCGAAGCAAAGAACACTCTAGCTTCTTCTCTTTATTCCATCTACGTGGGGAACCTGTTTCTTTTTATTCCTTGGTCTTTTGAACGCCCCTGATCTACGTGGGGGAAGGGACTGCTTGGATTGATTGAGGCTGCGGTGGAATTGGCCAGAAGAAAAGCTGCTGCGGGGGGCCCTAGATCATAAGACCGTGGTTGGAGAAAGGCGTTGACTGCTGGATTCGCAGATCCGCAAGGGCCGCAAGGATTCCCCCCGATTGTGGGGGGCCTTTGCGGATTTATGAGGCGCGGGCCCTGAAAGCCACGTCTGCGACCCGTCACCCGACACCCCTCAGCACAGTCCACAGGACATGTCTTAAAGGTGGCAACCGTTCTGGTTGTCATCGAAGGCGCTTCTGTGCATTCAAGAAATTGGAGACTCACCCATCCGCGACCTGTTGCCCAACACCCCTTTTGGGCCCCTGTACGGTGAGTTTTGTTTGGCAGGGATCGGCAGGCGTGATGTTTAAGGTGCCATATGGTGCACCTTGTAACGGGCCTTTAGTAAATTCCATGTTGGGTGGGAGGGTCGTATTTTGTCGCGAGCCTTGCAACAGCCAGACCTCCAGTCAGGTTCTACATCAGTGAGTGGCAAGGGAGAGGTTCTCTTGCTAAGGCATGTCCCCCTTAGAAGTCGTGAGGACTGTAGAGCGTTTTTTTCTCGTTGCACCGCGAGATGAGCTTACAGATCGAGGTAACTAAGCTTGTGCATTTCCCTCACAGCAGGTTGCCCCCACAGCGATTCCCCAAACAAATCCAAGACGGGAACGTCCTTGAAATTGATTTACTTGTTCAGGTTAGCTATGTTCTGCTAGGGGCAAAACGGTACGTCCGGAAATGTAGCATTGCAACACCCACCTGTGTCCGTCATACAACCCCTCCGAGGCACAAGCCGCGGAAAGTAAACAGGCACTGAAGCCACGAAGTGCTTCAAAAGAAGCCGCCCAAACACTCCCCCACAAAGCACAAACACGCAAACAAACCACTCTAACAAAAACACCAACCCACAACAAAGCACAAACACGCAAACAAGAAACCACCCACAAACAGGTCCCCCCCAAACGAAAGAAAGAGCGGCACCTCGCAGTCAAGCCACGAGCCCGCGGATCGTTTGCCGCAACGAGGCGCCAAAGATCCAGAGAGCCTGGCGCAGCCACCGGACCTGGCCCAGGGCCCAGATGTCACGAGAGAGCCAGTTCCTGATTCTCAGGCCACCCCTCCTGTAAGGGCTATAAAAATAATAATATATATATATATATATACACATATCGTGGGTTGGACAAGAGGGCTCCTTTTGAGGGGCATCCAAGGTTAAAACAGTGTGAAGGTTGAAAAAAAGCTTTGCAAGGTTAAACAAACAAAAACAACTTCACCCTTTTTGAGCGGGTTGGACAAGGGTAGCCTAACAAATCAGAATATGTATTTTTTGATTTTTTTCCGGCCGATCCGGACGTAGAGTGGGTTGGACATGATTTTCACAACGGGTAAAAGGGACATAGAAAGAAAGATTTGCCCCGGTAGATTTTGTCCATCCTGCACTGTGCATCCAACCGTTGGAAAGCCTTTCAGCTGCCTCAATGATTGGGAACTTGATGAGTATGGCGCTGGCCCTTGCCATGTAAGGCGGCCCTTCGCTGCTCTTTGCCTCATTGCCCGTGGTCACAACACTCCTTGGGGTTGCTAGGGATGGTCATCCCGTGGACATGAGGCCGCACATGACCATGGCACTCTGACAACGGGCAACTCCAAGTTGTAGTTGTAGCAATATTTGTCTCATTCTCTTCAGGGATCCTTCGCTCCGGAAACTTGCCCCGAAAAGCTGGCGAAATGGTGGCGATGGCCGGAATGGGCGTTGGCCGCACAGGCGCATGTTTGAAGAGAATGTGGCATCAACCCTTAGGCAAGCTAGAGTTTCCCCTTGGCGCCTCAGGGTGTGTCTGTTGTGACTTGTGACCATTGGGATCTTTGGGTGCATGCGTTGTGCCAAACAACCCACTGAACGGAGACGTACCGCTTCCATTTTGTCAAAGGAAAGGTGGAAGAAACCATCATTTATGGATAAATTACTGTACTGATGATTGTCTTCGCTTTGTGGCAAGTCGGCTCAACAAAGCAGCTACCTTCCTGCTGACCTGCAAACTGTGGGTGGCTGCTTAACCACGCATTTTTGCCGAATTAATTCATGGGAGCCTGCCAAAAGCCAACATCTCCATGTCTTCGTGTAAGGTTCATTCAACACCTTTATGTTGAGGTTTATGGGGGAATACGAGACCCACACCTTTTGCCGGGCGGTCTTTGGTACCTTTGGCTTGCGGGTGGCTCAACATGGATTACATGGATGTCATACGGGCCAACACAGCCTTCGATTATTGGAAGGTTCCCATTGTATACACCCGGGCATGGTAGCTTGCTGGTTGTTTCTATTCCCTTAGCTAGATGGGCCGCTTCTCGTAGCTTTGGCCTTTGGATGGGATTGCTGGGGCTTAAACCCTTTGGATGAATTCCTTGTAGATCAGAGATGCAACTGGCGTTTCGAGTCGGATCCTCGCTCCTTTGGTGACGACTAAGCTCTGGATCGCGCTATGCGTCCTTGTGCATAAATGACAGTCCGGTTGCTGCGCTCACGTATTGTAGGATTGGTGATGATCAGCAGTTCAAGCATTCGACCAATCTCCTGATTTGACCAACATGGCATCGATCATCACTTTTCGGGGAGCGTCCGTGTGACGACATTGCGCATCCTGTTTGGGGTCTTTCTGCCATTGGACCCTGTTCAGATGGGAGGGGGATGGGGGGGGGGCAAGAATCGGGGTTGCCAAGAAGGTTCCCATGTTGAGACCAAGCCATGCTAGATCTGTGCAATCAGCCTTTGAACTGCGGGGTACGCACCTTTGTACAGGAAAGAGGGGCTATAAGGGATAGGGGTGTGAAGGCTATGGGGCATGTGCCCCAAGGCTTACTTCCCTTGACAACTGCCATCCGTTGACTTTGGGGCCTATCCCTAGCCCCCGAACAAAACTTGAAGGGTTCCAGCAATAGCCTTCGACTCGCTCAAAGCGAATCGACGGGATCTGTCCTTTTTTTGTTTCCCAATTGTGGTACACATCTTGTTCGTGGTTTTCCAGGGGGCAAGTGAGACTCACTCCTGGGCCCCTGGACTTGAAACCTTGGGCTTGGATCAATTTTAGAAAGTTCAGACTTGCTTTGGCCAATCCCCTGGATCGGAAGTGAGGAGATGTAGCCCATCCTTGGTTGAGATTTGGCTGTGGGTCAAAATCAATGGGATCCCGTTTTGGTTGGTAGGTGAATTCACCACCCATTTTAGTCTATATATAACTTGGCTCCTTCATTCAGGATGTTTGAATGATTCCCATGCATTATGCATTCCGTGTCCAGTTTTTTAGTGGGGATTGGGGGGGGGTACGATTTGGATTTTGACCCATGGCCGCAACTTTCGGATGGCGCGCGGAGGATCCGCAGGATGGAGCGCGTGCGGCAGGAGTTCCGCGTCAGGAAGCGCGGCTCGGAGCCATCGGAGCGTTTTTCGGGGGGCGTGGCTCGGAGTGAGGCTGAACTCAACCGTGGGTCGACGACCTTAAAATGGGGGGGGGGTCTTTGGCCTTCTTTTTGGTAGTACGCGTGTTGGGTCGTTTTACAGGGACAGGGAAAGGAAAGCCAATCAAGTTTGGGGGGGGGGGGGTGCAAAAAATCGACACCCCAAATGTCAACTTGGTTGATTGGGAAGAAGTCCTTGAAGGTCAAGTTGAATTTATTTTTTCCTTTGCGGGTTGGGAAATCCTGGTTGAAGGGAATTTGCTCTACAGGGCTTCTTACTAAGTGGCCTTCCGCTGCTTGGCGGTACGTCCCCAACGTGGCGGATCCCTTTTCGGAGGCTCAAGGAAAACGAAGGCGAAACGTAGAATGGGTCTCCAATTCTGAGAAACACCCAACCGCCAACCCCTTCAACAAAGACACAACTGGAGGGTGTTCGGGCCCTATCCACTGGGTGGGTGAGGGGGAGGTTTTTGCCCTGGATAACACCAGACCACCCACATCCTCACTGAAGGCAACGGTTGCTTTGGGCCGGGAGCTAGCCAAATGGCTAGCAAGGCCCCCCTCCCTCCAGTTTTTGTTACATCTCAGGCTTAAATGACCCCTGCCAACCTTGTTTTTTCTGTGATTGAGCCACCCTCTCAGCAGAGCCAAGGCTTGGTCAACGCGGCAGCCACCAAGATCCAAGCACTGGTCCGCGGGGTGTTGGCGCGGAAGCACGTGCCTCGCTCCACTGGGGACGGTTTTTTTGGGGGTCGAAGGTCTCCTCCAAACAGTTCCGACCAGCCAGTCAAGGTTCACTGGGGGACTTTGTTTGCATGAATTGCTCCTTCATAATATGGTTGCCCCTCATTAGTAAAGGGCCCCCCCCTAAAAGAACTAAAAGAAAAACAACATATGGAGGAACCCCCTGATTGATTAATCGGCGGGGCGTCCTCCACATTCATATTGGTATACACAAATGTGTGTTGCCCAGGGCGCCCACCCCGGGGATATGTGGCCGGGAAAAGAATACCCCTTAGGCCGTAGCACTGTTCTCCTTACAATTCAGAAGGCATGTTGTTCCGAAGATATTCTCAGAGAGTTCTGTCGCAGAGTTTGTAGGAAATTGGTTCTTGCTTTTTGCGTGGCATCTACTCTGCCAGATCCAACTGTTCATCCGAAAGTCCTCTTGCGGATGGTTTGGCCATGACAATCAAGCTGCAAGGGCTCTAAGAATCCCAGGGACCCATTCTATAAGGTTCTAAACGCGCTGTCCGCGGGGTGGGGCTGCTATTCGCTTCTTCTTCTCAATCCGCGGAACCAAGTTTTGGGCCCACAAGCCCACATCGGGCCCGGGTGTGAGGTTTTCTAGGCCCAAAAGCACGGGAGCAAGACACCCCTCCAATCGTGTTCGCCGGCACTCGCGCTCATTCTGCCGAACCGCTGTGTTTTTTTTGTTTGGGGAGGGCCCGACAGCGGTTTTCTATGACCACGTGTGTGCTTCGGTTTCCCGGTTGATTCTATTTTTGCGACACGGCAAGAATCGGGGAACCCGTGAATCCAGGTCTTTTCGCTAAGTGGGGAAGTGAGGAAAATGGAACCGAGGGAGTCTGCACGTGAGTAAATTCAAAGCTGAGCTCACTGTCAGAAGGCCACTTTGGCAGCATTAAAAAAACACTTTCTTGGCCAATCAACGCAGGATGTGTGAAACTGTGGCACCGGAGGCAAACGGAAGTTGGATAGACCTAAGTAATTCTCATCCCACCCATGTCGGATGTGGATGGAAGGCAGATCACGCCCAACTGGGAGTTGTTTGATGATATGCACTCCAAAGACGTGCTTCCCCAGTTGCTGGGCTTCAAACTTTTCGGGCAGAACGTATCTGAGGTAAGCGTATATAATGTACCAACATCATATACTATCTTCCTTCTGAACATCTGAGCCACTGCTTGCATGGAATTGAAGAGGAGCTGAAGGAGAAGGAAGAAGCCATTCCTCTAGCAATCTTGGCCCCTCAAAAAAGCCGAAAAAAGCATGGTTTCTCTGATCCAACCCTTTCAATGCAGATCCCTTTCCCCTTCAATGGAGGGTCAAATGATGCTTAGCGTCTAGTGTCAGATAGTGTTGACCCCGGAGGCAGGCAAACCTGCTCCAAAAATAGAGCACACCCTTATAAGTTAAGTGGATTGGATTCCCCATAAAGCTGGGACACCCTTCCTAATGAACTACAGGCTTGCTTTTCCTCGGTCCCGACACACCTTGCCAGCATCCTTGATCTGTTAGGTGCGGCGATTGAGGGAGGAAACAGCCGCTTGGCGAGTGTCGGGGATTCGGGGAAGGGCAAAAAACACAAACCAATTTAACGGGCCTGGGGCATGGGGCCTGTAGGGATTCTAGAATGGGGCCCTTGGCAAAAAGAGCAGTATGGTGCAGATCGCGGGTATGACCTCGGCCTCCTGGGGAATTTTCAGGTAACCCCCCCCCCCCCCAAACCTTACAAATGAAGGAGGTTGGATCACCTTAAAACAAAAAAAAGAACACGATAAGCCCGGTTCTGGTTCGGATTGAGAATATCCCATGAATACTGCAGGATGTCCGTCCATGCCTCAAGGTCATTAGGTGTTTGGTCGCGGCGGCATTGTGTAAGGACCACACAAATTAGCTGGACTTGACTTACATGTTTTGTTTCCCTGACACTTGTTGCAGGTTTCGTCTGGGCCACCTGGAACCTTGCCCAGATCTACACGAATCAACTTGTTGGTGCGATGGGTAGGGAATGTGGGAATAAACCCAGAAGTCCCCTTAAAGGCAACCACCAGTTGGATGGTTTATAAGTATTTATAAAGGTCAAGAGTCATTCCATTTTTCATTCCCTTCTGAGCACCAGCAAGTCAACCTTGCCACTTCCATTTGGAGGCGCTCACGTCGTAGCTCCCTCCCCAAGTTGTAAACAACTTTTAACGGAAACCATTTCAGGACGTCCATTTGCTAAAATGAATGTGTTTTGCTTAAAAACCGAATCCCTTGTTGTTTTGAAAGGCTACTGGAAATATGTGTTTTTTCCCAGGGGCCTAAGCAAATGGAAGCTGGGCGTTTGTTTTCGGGATTCGGCCTGAAGTCAGATCGTTCCTTCCTTTGGCAGGCTCGCCAGGTATAGCGAGCTAAAGTTGGTGCTGGCATGGCCATTTCGAAGGAGAATTTGCCAAACTCCGTCCGGTGCGTGGTGAAATATGAAAAATTGATAATTCAGTACCGTTTAGTTTCACTCCAGGTTGTCATGGAACCCACCCAAAGGGTTCTTGCTGGTGCGATAGGTAGGGAATGAGGGAATGAACCTGGGGGTCCGCTTAAAGGAAACATAGGGAAACCACCAGTTGGATGGTTTTTACTTAAGGGTCATTCCATGTCTCATTCCCTGCATCTCTCGCACCAGCAAGTGAGTGAGGTTCCAGGTTGCCATATGTAACCCATTAAAAGCGTTCCCGGTCAAAAGTTATGTTTTTTTTTTCCCAGGACCCCTCAGTAAGGTCCCATGGCAAGCAGGGCAACAGGGCTCCTTAAAAGATACACTTTGCCCATTTGAAACATGTTGCTTTTTCCACCAAAATAAGGGGAAGCCACCATTTTGCAAGGCAATGTTCAGGTGTAGAATGTAAGGATCCCTGGGCAATGTGCCGACTTTGCTTCGCATCCTTCGGCAGCCAAGGAGTGGCCTTTGAAGGGCTGGTTTGAGTACACGGGCACGGGTGTGGCGCTCGGTATGAGGGGTTCACTTGCTGGCGCAGTGTGCGGAATTCCCCAGTTGTTCCCTTGACCAGCAAAAAGTGGTGTCACTTGCAACCAAAGCAAGTCGACCGGATCTGATCTTGAGTTTTTTTTTCTTCTCTGGTTGGTCCAGTTTTTGGCATGGCACCAACAGGTTAAGCTTTTGCTTCACTTCGTTTTTGGGCAAGTGAGTAGTGGATTACTGCTGCGGATGAAGGCCGCCCCATGGTTCTAGCTTCCCGGTCACTGATTGCAAGGGCGTCATAAAAACTGGGCCCACTCGGGGGAGCTGGCACAGCAAATGACGAGGTAGCGCCAGCAGAATGACTCAAGGGGGCGGGGATTCCGGGATATATGTTGGACGTGAATCCTGTGGGCCTTGCCGTTTGCGCATAGTGCACGCAGACAGATCGGCCTTGCTTTCTGAGGGAGTTCTGTTGATCGGCGTTTGGACAACTTCTTAGCTTTTTGAAAAGGCGCTTGCTGACGTACAACGCGATCTTGAGATGCATCTGTTGCTTGAAGCAGGTCTAGCACATTTCCAGCGAGGTTGAATAAGGATTCTTGGGATCCTGAACCGTGTCCAGATCGTACAAACTCGCCAATGCCAAAACATGGCTGTGGTTCAAAAATAGGCACCCAAAATGAATCCCTTGCAAATAGAACCAGGGGCTAAAACCGTTTTTAAACCTGCGGTCCCCTGGCCCACACCAAAACATGTTTCTATGCGAATCCACGTTTCTTTCTGTTCTGAACTCCGCCACTTGGAGACCTGCGCGCAGGCCGCAACTCCGTGCAGTGCAACGTGAGGTTCATCCCAAATACGAGGCTCAAAGTGGGGGAGGCGATCACTTGCTAACGGCATTGGATCACGTCGTTTGTTTCCCTGGATTCTGTCGGTTTTCCCAGTTTCCAAGTGGGTTTGCCTTGGCCTAGTTCCTGGTTCCTTTGTTTGCGCTAGTTTGTCCGTTTTGCTTTGCTCAGGCTTAGAAGGAGCCACCACTGAGGACTTGTTTCCTGGCTGGCTTTGAGGAATTGAATATGGCGAGCCTGCTTTCACCTAGGAAGCGACCGCAATCAGACGGCCTGTTGGCTTACCTTGGCCTGTTTCGGGTTTTCAACCCCCGACAACCTCCAAGCCACTAAATTGATGAGGGACGAGGTGCACGAAGGGCGCACGCAGCGTTTTGCCGCGGGGGAAGTGACAATCTCAAAATTAGAAGGGTGCTGGATAAGCCCATGAATTGCACATGACCCCCAAACAGAAACCGCAAAATGATGGGCCCCCGAGTTGTTTTCTCTTTTAAGGCCCTCGTTTCGCAACCCGTTCGGGTGTGGGTCTTTCGGTTGGCCCAGCTTCGACAACTTCCGGTTCTTCCAGAAGTATGGCCAGCCGCAGACCCTCCTGATGCGGTTGCAGGAGATGCAGCAGGAGGCGGAAACTGACAGCAAAGGAGCAACACGCTTTGCATTGATTTGTGTTTTGTGTGGTTTATTTTTGTTTGTGTGATTTAGTTTGGCTTGTGTGATTTAGTTTGGCTTGCGTGATTTAGTTTGGTTTGCGTGGTCTATGCTGATTTGTCATGTTTGTTTTGGTTTGTTTGGTATTTGTGTTTTGTTTGTTTCTTTGGCTGTTTGATTCACGCCCCCTACTTGATGTGTGGGGAAGATTCCTTGGCGGGGGGTCCTGTCTATACATTGGTTTCTCCTTGCGGGGAAAATGGAACTGATGTGCAACTAGGGTCGTGATGCAACACAGGCGCTCAGGTTTGGCTGGCATAGGCAATAGGGCCCCAAGCTGTTTGCAATCCAGCATTGTTGCCATTGAGTTGTGGGAGCGCTTGGCTTATTTTGGCTTGGCATGTGTATATCAATGAAATGAACTAGGCATCCCCGTCTTATACGAATCGGGGCCGAACATGTACCATGTACAAAGGGTTTTGCAGGGTTCCGTGTTGTACCAGATCAGATGTGCGAAGATGGACTGGATGGCCCAGCCAGCAGAGTGTTGAAGGGACAATCCACACAGCGGATCTAGGGGCAGCGCCTTTGCCTTTGGTGTCCCCTTCCATGGCCTCCTTCCGCATGTGAACGAGTCCGTTTTGCGGAACCTCTAGCATGGTTTTTCCTTTTTGGGGTTCCCCAGCTCCCAAAAAGTTGAGCCTTGAACTCCTCGTCGGAACCCACCTGATGGCTACCAACAGCAGCATATGTTCCCTTGTCAGTCTCCCTAGCCCTTGACCCTTGTGCAGATGTCTCCCTTCATATTGCCGTTCTACAGGACGGTTCACCCGAGACAGAAGTGCGCCCTTGGCCCTTGCAGTTTGTTTTTTTGTTTCTCGAATGTGTTTCCTTGTTGCTTGTTGCGCGTTGGTTCTTAGTTAGTTGGTTGGTTGGTTGGTTGGTTGGTTGGTTGGTTGGTTGGTTGGTTGGTTGGTTGGTTGGTTGGTTGGATTTGGGTTGGTTGGATTTGGGTTGGTTGGATTTGGGCTGGGGTTGAGGTTGGGGTTGGTTGCTTGCTTTCTTGGTGGACCTCGCCAGATCGACAACACTTTGCGGGCCTATTTGGGCCCGGAAGAGTACGCGGCCATGGAGGTGCGCTCGGATCCTTGCCCAGCGCCGGAATAGTATTTTATCTGTTATTTCCCCGATTGGTTTTAAAAGGGAACCTACTACTGGAAACATGTATATTTTCCGGGGGCTTGCAGAATGGAGGAACACGAGGGGGGGGTCGTGACGTATTGGGAGCCAAATCCGAAAAGTGTTCACAGAAAAGTGCGACCTGCAAACACAAAAGAGATGCTCCAAAATGATTTATTCTCAGTAGGGGCATTGATAGCTGCATTATGTTTGTCCCAACCGTGAACCTAGTACGCATAGGTACCATCCATGTGCATGAGTGAGACAGCAAAGGCTGATTCCACGGGAGAGTTGGCATTTGCCTACTTAGGTCGAACAGTTGTCTTTTGAACAGGGCGCAGCTATGTGGGAGGCGGCTGGAAATGTTGTCCCTTTATATTGAAACTAACAGGAGTTTAGAGCGTCTCCAAGGTAGACTCTAGAAGATGATCAACAGGCAATGTTTGATTTAGTTTGCCGTGGCTTCCTGTTACCAGGATTGCCCATTTCTAGCCTTGTGCCAGCCATGGCAATATGACCCAGCAAGAATTCCATCGGAAGGTTCTAGGATCCCTTTCGCAGATTCCAGAGCAACGGGCGGACGTTCAGGAGAGTATCCTCCTTTTGCTGAAGGCAGTTTGCTAGCCACGTTCCCGTGTTCCCGCCTCAGTAAGCCTCTTGTTTTGGGTTGGTCCTCTAGACTTCAGTCCGTAAACCGTGGAAAGCCGAAAGACATGGACTTTTCTGTTGTGCAGATTAATGGAACTGGGGGACTGTATTCACTCCTTTTCTGACAATTCAGATCCAGGCCACAGGAAGACGCGTAAAACTGAATTATTGTTGCCCCCCGCCCCTGCCCCCAAATTTGAGACAATTCAGATCCTAGATGGATAATTGAACTGTATTTTTTCCAGGTTTACATCTGGACCCGCTACTTTTGCGCTTCTCCGGTAGCTCTACCTAGGGGTTACCCTTGTTGGGTTTGTTTAAGGGGAAACTAACCGGACAACCCACCATTTGAGGGGGTCCGCCTTAAAAAGACCAGCCACCAAACCTATACTGGAGGGAAAAACACAACAACACGTTCTCAACTTGAACAAAAATAGAGAACAACATTCATACTGGAGAAAAATAGAACAAGACGTTCTCAACTTAGGGGACCCTTGGCTAAATTTCGGCCGTTCCCCCGGCCTCCTCGCACTCCGCTCGCGTCGCGCCGCTTCCAAGCGGCAGGCGCGGAACGCCACGCTGGCGGCGGCGGAGCGCGCGGCGGAGGAGGCGGAGCGGGAGGAGCAGGAGGCCGGGAGCGTTCTCCGCCGCGCAGACGCGCTGACCCGTGGGTTCTGGCGGCTCCGGCCAACGAAAACGGCGGACCCCAAATGAGTGTGGGTCAAAATTAAACCACCATATAGACCGCAGGTTTTAGTCCATGTTCCCATTTACGTTCAGGGTCCACGTTGGGTACCTATTTTTGACCCACAGCCAAACGGCTTTTTTGAAATGAGAAAGGACCTGTAAACAATTCTCACTTTTTGAGTTCATGGGAAAAGACCCACTTTGGCAGTAAACCAAGAGTGCAGACTTGTTTTGGCCCATCCACTCAGGAGGTGAGTTTTCCCTCTGTTCTTGGATCAAGCTGTTTTTGGTTTAATGTTTTTTTTGGGTTCTTGTTCATGTTTAGCAGGCTGCTTTCGTTGTTTTCAACCATACCAAGTGTTGTGGAGTTTCTGGACTTTGGCTTTTTGAACGCTTTCAAGCTATTCGTGGCGCCTCAGCAACTGGTGTTTTGAAGGTCGACTGAATAACTCACTTCCCGAGTTTCGGGGCTTGATACGTTTTGGGAAGACCATTGTAGCGGCAACCAAAATGCTTGGACTTTTTTCGGCCAATCCACTCAGGAAGTGATAGGTTATAGTGCTTCAGTGAGCTAATTGCGCTGTGTAACGGCCCCACTTGCAGCTAGATCAAGGCCATCGTTCTCGCAGCATGTTGTCTTACAGTTCCCCAAAAAGTAGAGTATTAAAGTCATGCCGGGCAGGGCTGATTCTTGGGACCACTCTAAACCATGGCAGCGGGGGCTGCGGTCTGAGCATGTGCAACAACACGCTCGCGGATCCGCAGCCAAGCTCCCAAAGCTTTTCACGAAGGGATTAGCCAAAGATGAGTTTGCGTGAGCTACATCGGATTGTCCCTGTCAAGTTGTTTTTTCTTGGTTTGTTCGGCTACGTTCATTTGTTGGCTGCGACGTGAAGGCACGCTTTTGCGGATTCGAGCCTGCCTTCTTGTTGCGATCAAGAAGCCAGTTGAGAAACCACTGAGCGTTCACACCGCCGACCCCCGTTCCCTAACCCTCCCTGTTTTCCATGTCTTTTAGGAACCCCAAACAAATGGTGGTTTACCTTTCGGCTCCCTGCTAAAACCACCCCATGGGTACCCTCAAAACAGACACCCTCCAACAGACCCTTGTCCGTGAGGCGTCCGCGATGGCGGCCGCAGAGGTCGAATCCACCGCCATCAACGATGTAGCCAGGAGCCCAAGCCGCGGGAGGATTGACTCGTCTGCAGCTTTCCGGTGCTGTGGCAATTACCTTTAGAGGGTTTCCTTTATTTTAAGACGGTTTCCATTAATTACTCACCTCTTGAAATCATGAACTTTAAGACCTTTTGAGTTTGGACCATGTTGCTGGTAAATAAACAGTTTGGTTGCTTTTTGTTGGCGCATCAACTCGCTAGGTGAGCTGCAGCTGTCCAGTGCGGCTATTACATTTGGGTTTTGGGGGTTTCCTCACTTGAGAGGGTTTCCGTTAGCAGCATGGATGGTTTTGTCCTTTAGCGGGTTTCTATTAATGGATGTTTGTCAAACGAATTGTTGATTACATGTTCCCTCTTGATGCTAGGCTTCCCGCTGAAGGTCGTCAACCTGAAAACATCATGAACACATTCCTTTTCTACCAGGTCACTGGGCAACTGGGGGTCAACATGGAACCGAAGCCTCCTTTGAAGACTGCTCCTTGGGGTGCAAACCCAACCACCTCAGTTTTTGGGGCACCGGGCAAATGTCCGTAAAGCATCGAACTTGTTTGCACGGGCAGTTGCAGGTGCGGCAATCCCAGCGATGTGATGGCGCTTTGTTGTTTTGAGTGACAGAGTCTAAATGACTTCCATTTGGTTAAGAGTATGTTTCTATTAAAACCTTGTTGGTTTTAAAGGGAATTTACCACTACTGAAGTTGTTATTTCTTTCAGGCCAGGAAATTGAAGATTATTCTTTGTCGTTTGCCCGCTGGCTGGGAGAAGCGCCCGCCAGTTTCCAATTGCCAGGCATGACTTAAAACCCGCCACTGTTGAACAAGCCGTGCTTCACATGATGCCACAGCCTGGGTTTGTCCCAGAATGTCACGGACCCCTCTTTGGGGGGATTTCTATCCTAGCCCCTGAACCACTGAACCAGGCCTTTTTCACATAGGCATGTCTGATCCTGTGGACCTCATGCCTCGGCTCCTTGCTCCCAGGCACGTGCCGAGGAGGCGCACGGCTGCGCCCAGGTCTTGAGACCCCTCCCCTTCGGAGCCTTACGAGCAGTTTGGATCATTTTGGCACAGGTTGGATGCCACAAATCGCAGTTTCAAGGCGCCTACCCGGCAGTCATGCCAACACCTCAAGGAACTCTTGATGTTTTTCCGCAAAAGACCGAGCTATTGCAAGTTGCAAGCCTCGCGGCATGATCTGGGGATTGGGTGTCAGAAAACGGGATCCTGTTTTTGGTTGGTTTGACCTTGATTCCTGTCCAACCCATCCAACCAAAATGTTCAATCCAATGTTTCAAGCTGAGTTTAGTTTGATTGGATGGTTACCTCTCGAGAGCTCTAGCCATTTTGAGGCCAAACATGGCCAAAGAAGGCCTTGCCAGTTGCGGCGGTCTTTCATATGTGTTTTGCAGGGTCCATGGCCATCTAAGCATTCCACTTTGATTTGGCTTTTTGAAGGCTGAATCTTCACGACCCCCCCCCCCCCCTCGCAGCGCCTGAAACCCAATTGGACGAACAGTGGAAGCTTGTGGGACACCCTGCAAAGCAGCAAGTAGCTGCTTTTGTCCTTTTGTCTTATCCCTGGAAAGGTGAAATGGCTGGACTCAGACATGGATGCAATATCGCACTGCGGGAAGCTTTCGCTCTTTGGGCAGCTTCCAGATTGCGTGTGTGCGGGAGGGAGTGTGCATGTGTGTGTGTGTGCGTGTGTCAATACCTGTTTGCATGTTGATGCGTTGGCGTGTAGGCGTGCGGGCGCGCTTGCTTGCAGGTGTGTTGCTGTGCAAAGTTGTATTTGAGTCTTTGAGGGTCTTCATTGTGTTTTTAATCCGCGACTCCAAGAAGGGAAGGGAACCACTCGTTTTGGGCATCAGCCATGTTTCATGTTTGCGCGCAGGCCACGTGTTTCCAGCACATGGGACCCACGCACTGCCCGCCAGGCAGCGGTCCGGCAAGAGGAGGAGCGGGTCGCAGAGGCCTTGGCGGAGGCCGCGCGGGCGGCGGAGGAGGCGCGACAGGAGGAGGCCGGGCCGAGCCAACGGTTGGGTGGCGCGTCCTTAGCTAGGTCCCCCAGTATTTTACATTTTTTGGGGGAGGGTTTCCCTACTACAAATTGACTACAGAAAAAAGGGCACCCTTGTTCTATCCTCTGTACTGGAGGACCAAGTTGGGGTGCCCCTTTGGTTGCTATTTGACAGAACCGAAGGGAAACCACCCTTTTGGTGGTGGGGGGGTCCTCTAAGAAGCACACACCCGTTCGTCCTTAATCCAAGTCCAAAGATTGACAAACTGCTTAGGGCACTGGGATGAAGGCGTCCAGGAAAAACCAATTGTTTATTGTCCAAGAGTGGTAAACAATCCCGGACTTTAAAGGCTTTTCGGGAAGACAATTTTTTTGAGGCAAAGGACAAGCCGGGATGTTTCTGACGGAAGCTGTGCACAGAGCTTCCCTTTTTTTCTACACACTGCCCAGAAGGTTTCTGCTACCCCTGAGCCACTGCCCAGCTCCCATGCGAAAATCGGGTTCCTACGTGTAGTATGTTTGACGTGTGGAGGTCAAGCGAGCCGTTCCAAGAGAAAGATGTTGGCTGCCCATTGCACCCCCGAACCTATAAATACACAAGCGCTGCTTGAACCATTGCGAAAACCAACCAGGAAATCAAGGACAAAATCTGGCTCCTAACGCGGGGTTGGAGGGACCCTACCAACCCCGGGCAAAGAAGCCTTGCTAAGGAATCCTTGCCGTTACAGCCTTATTTGGCTTCTGAAGATTCCAATCAATTCTCCAACCCAAATTGCAAAAGTCGTTCTAGTAATGAAGACTTTGTTTTTTGCAATCAACGCAAATTTTCGTGCTTCGCGCCGGCCTCGCCTGTCCGCCGCGCGGGCTGGATGGATGGACGCGATGGATGGCGGATGGGAGGGAGGGAGGGAGGGAGGGAGGGAGGGAGGGAGGGAGGGAGGGATGGATGGAAGGGCATGGATGGATGGATGGATGGATGGATGGATGGATGGATGGATGGATGGATGGATGGATGGATGGATGGATGGATGGATGGATGGATGGATGGATGGATGGATGGATGGATGGATGGATGGGTAGAGGGGTGGGTGCGTGGGATGGAATGATACATGGGATGGAGGAATGGATGGGATGGGAGAGCACGCGCGCACACGCACACACACACATACACACACACACCACACATTCCACCCGCCCACGCCACCCACCCACCCACCCACCCACCCACGCACGCACACGCACGCACGCACGCACGCACGCACTTACTTACCCACGCACGCACGCACGCACGCCCACCCAACCCAACCCAACCCCACCCCACCCCACCCAACCCAACCCAACCCAACCCAACCCAACCCAACCCAACCCAACCCAACCCAACCCAACTCAAACTCACCCACCCACCCACCCACCCACCCACCCACCCACCCACCCACCCACCCACCCACCCACCCACCCACCCACCCACCCACCCACCCACCCACCCACCCACCCACCCACCCACCCACCCACCCACCCACCCACCCACCCACCCACCCACCCCCGGCGCGCCCCCCACGCACGCACTTACACACGCATAGTAGCTGAAAGACGTGTAAAATCAAATGACATGTGTTTCTCTTTCAGTTTCACCTCCAAAATGTCCTTCACTGGGGTTGCTAACGCTCCAACAGAAACAACAGACAGCAAATCATAGATTCATAATTGCTATCTTTTGGCTTACAATTGGATGAGATATAGGTGGGTGGACTCTCAGGTTTTATCCTAGAGACAGAACATGGATGCCAGCAGGCCCTCATGATGATGCTGGTGATGACGATGATGCAATGACGATGATGGATGATGGATGATGGATGATGGATGATGGATGATGGATGGTGATGATGATGATGATGATGATGATGATGATGATGATGATGATGATGATGATGATCAATACCATGACTATCATCAAAGCATTCCCTGCATCCCCAGGGATGTCTAACGTATTGCATCACCATTTGTGTCTTGAGAACTATAATCGTAGCGTCCCTTGCGTTGCAAGTGGGGCCGAACGTGATTTGTGATTTCTATTGATAAGAGTTAAGAAAAGCTCGCAGGATAAGGATGATGATGATGATTGTCGTCATTCGCGGCATCAGAATTGAATTGTAACATCCTTTGCATCCCCAGTTGTGCCTTAATAACTATCATCGTAGCATCCCTTGCATTGCAAGTGGTGCCTAACGTGACTTTTGGTTTCTTTTATACAAGGAAGGATGATCATCATTGTCGTCATCAGTTGTCATTTTTCATCATCAACATCATTTTCATCATCACTTGGACATTAAATTATCATAATCATCAGCATTTTGCCATCATGTTCATCATCATTTGCATCATCATGTTTCATCATCATTGTCATCATCATGTTTTTCTTTTCATTATCATCGTTTATCACCAACATCATCACCGTTGTTTTCATCATCAGTTTCATGTTCATCGTCATCATCATCAAAGAAGCCATGGGAGACCTAGCGACAGGCTCAAGGCGGAAAGAAACCAGAGAGTGTTTTAACCCTGAGGATGACTTAGCGCTTTGTGAGAAAGTTGGCCATTTTTGTTTTCGCACTTCGCGAGGGGCTGGAAACTTAAGTTTCATGAGCGGGCTATTTTCTTGCTACACTTCCCCTGAACAAGGAGACGAGCATCCAATTCTTGTTTGCAGGGAGTGCTACGGATTTTACCGTCCGCGGGGCCGGACGGGCCCTTTGGCCCCGTGCCTTTCCATTTGGCCATTTGTTTTTTGCTTGATCGTAACTAAGATGATAATTTGATAATCAATGATGATGAACAATGATGGAGAATGATAAATGCCAGTCGAGGTCGGAGACCTTATTCCCCTGCGCGGACCCCTTCACTCAACAGCATTCTCATCAACATGCTCATCGCCATTCGTCATTTGTATCATCATTTTCATCATCATGGTATCACCATGGTTGATCATAATTGTTATCTTCATGTGTTTCATCATTTTCATCATCATGTTCTTCGTCATCACGTCCATCATCATGTTCTTCATCAGTTTAACGATTATGTTCATCAACATGTTCAGCATGTTTTTGCCATGATATCAGCATGTTCACCATGACTGCCATCATCATGTTCCTCACTAGTTCAGCATCATACATCATTGCATCTGTCATATAATCTAAGACCGCGATGATGATGACGATGATTTGGCGACTACGATGATGATGGATGATCATGATGATGATGATGATGATGATGATGATGATGATGATGATGATGATGATGATGATGACACCCTTCCCGGATGTTCTTTGGAATCCACGGCCTTTTCTACTTGGAGGAAGGAGACGTAGTATTGTTGCCACTGCAGCAAAGGCCTCTAGACACCAGGCGTCTCCTGGTTTCCTTTTTTGGACCCGGGGAGGCGGGGGAGGCAACCGGGCGGGCGGGCAAGGACCACGCACACCAGGCCTCGATTCTATCAAACACTGCCAGGTAAAGAGCCGCCTAGTAGTCACTATGTACTTTTTTTGTCCCTCGGAGCAGTGGTTTGAGGGCGCTGGAAAGCCTAGATCAATGGAGGCTGAAGGCTGGTCCTTTATGTTCACTCCTGGGATAGTGAAGCCTAACGCCTCTTGTTTGAATCACAGGAGCAAGAAAGGGTGCTGCTTTAGCGGTGAAGAAAACAAGCCTGTCACCCCGGAGTCACGTATTGGAGCCTTCAGGCTTGCAAGCCCTACCTTGCTTTGATCATAGTGTATATTTGGGGTTGGGCCTCAAATGGCCATGTCTTTTGTTGGTTCCGTGGCTGCAAAAAGCAAAGTGGTTTGCTGCCTTACCGCAAGGGTTGTAAAGCTTTTATATGTGTGATCCGTTTGATTCCGCACCAAAGTGGCCCAGCCGTTGTTTCGCCAACAGCCGGGTTCCTCGCCGATCAATTTGGGGCGAGGCGTTGGTTCAGCCGTTGCTAGGAAGCCAGCATCGGGAAGGTGAGCGAGGTCCGGTGCCCGAAATTGGAGTCAACTCGACAGCCCTGGTTCCACAGCCACTTGGGCCGGCCCGGAGGTTCCTAGGGAAGCGCAAGACTATCATTCATGGTTTGCGGCTGGTTTACTTGCAATCTTTAGCGATTCACTCTGTTTGCTTCCAATGTTGGTTGGTTGGTTGGTTGGTTAGTTGGTTGGTTCGTGGCCAGCGCATGTTAGCGAGGCCAGGCCCGCGCTTCCCCCCCGGCCGAAGCTTGGGGTTCAAGCCGGCCGGAAACTAGATGCAGCCAAGACACAGGCCACACCATGGGCGAGCGGGTCAACCCAAGGGTGGCGCAAGTGTGGAAAACAGCAAAGCAAGTAATGCCCACGCTGGGGCCGCGGAGGGCCACGCAAGGGCCAAGACAGGAAGTGCAGGAAGGCCACGAGAAGGCCACAGAAGGCCATGACGGGGCCGAGACAGGAAGCAAGGTAAGCAAGGTAAGGCCACGCAGGGCCGAACATGCCATGCGGGGCCGCAGAAGGTTGCGCAGGGCCCAAGACAGAGAGAGCAAAGGCCACGCGAAGGCGACAGAGGGTCGGAGCACAAAGAGGAAGCAGAGAAAGGCAAAGTATGGCCACACGGGGGCCGAAGAAGGCCATGCAGGGGCCAAGACAAAAGTCCCGCAAGGGTCCAGCAGCCAAAGACGGAAGCAAAGTAAACAAGACCCGCAGGGGGCCACGGCCACGCAAGGGCCAAGACAGGAAGCAAAGAGAGCAAAGTAAGGCCACGCAGGGGCCACAGAAAGCCACGCAGGGGCCAAGACAGGGTTCAAAGTAGGCGAAGCAAGGCCATGCGGGGGCCACGGAAGGCCACGCAGGGGCCAAGACAGGAAGCAAAGAAGGCGAAACAAGGCCACACGGGGGCCACAGAAGGCCGCGCAGGGGCCACAACGTGAGCAAAGTAAGGCCACGCGGCGGCCACGGGCCAAGACAGGAAGCAAAGTAGAAAGTGAGCAAAGTAAGGCCACGCGGCGGTCACGGAAGGCCACGCATGACAGGAAGCAAAGTAGGCAAAGCAAGGCCACGCGACAGGAAGCAAAGTAGGTGAAGCAAGGCCACGCGGGGGCCACGGAAGGCCACGCAGGGGCCATGACAGGAAGCAAAGTGAAGCAAGGCCACAGAAGGCCGCAGAAGGCTGAGAATGAGGGAAGGTAGGCACTGTCGCCCTGACGTTTGGGAGGGCAGGGGAGGGGGTGCTCGTCGGGAAGAATTCCCTTAGTGCCGTTCTCGGGGGTCCTTGCCTCCCCGAAGAACACCAACCCAGTGAAGCAACGTCAGGCCCCGGGAGGTTTGCTTCCAATGTGCACCGGACCATGGGGTGCCCTGCAAAAGGGGCCTTCTGGTCGGTTGGGAAGCCATGCGAAGTGAAAGATGAGACTGTCAAGTGCAGCTCTGGGTCCGAAGCTCTGGGTCCTTTCCGAGAAGGTTTGGATTAATAGTCTGGGCTGGGGGACACCAGAGTTGTTAGACTACCAGTTGGAACAATAGTTTGGTTCCTGCACGGGCATAGGGATTCGCCTCCGAGGTGTGACAAGAAATGTGTCCCCAGAGAAGAGGCAACAGAAGCACCGTGAGAGTCCGGTCCCCTTCTTGAAAGTCCGTAGGGGGTCTTTTTTTTTGGGGGGGGGAACCTTGAAAACAAAACACAAAGGGGTACCCCAAAAAAAGAGACAGACCCAAGTCCTATTCCAGGGTGGCGAATTCTTATCACCAGGATCTAAGTCCTTTACTTGGGGATCCCTTGTTTCAGGTTTTGGACGTGTTGCAGAATTAACAGACCTCACCCTGTGTCTTTTTTCTCACTTGTGTGATGCGATGAAGCCTCCATGTTCAAGCCAAGGATTGTATGGTTGGGTTGGTAATTGCATCACTTGCAATTCTCGCACTTCTGCAGCCAGCTATCAAGGTTTCAATTTTGGTTTTACACTTCGTGGTGTCCTGACCTTTGGTGGCAAATCTGATGGCTCTGAGTCAGGGACATCAGAGGGCTGAAGGCTTTGGTGCCCCACTTAGGCCCTGGCCAACTTTACTCAGGCTGCTGCGGAGATAGAGGCGAGCGTGCGAGAGCAGGTTCTAGGTTTGGAACAGGCCACGTGCCCCACTCCCCGTTTGTTTGTACCCTTTTCCATTTTTTGTTGGTCTGGCAACTTGGGTGTGATTTCAAGCCGATGCACCATTTTGCAATATTGCAGGGCAGTAAGGAATCGCATATCTGACTTCAACAAGGGGTCGTGACACACCATGAGTTCAGCTCGTGTTGAACTTCAGCATGAAGGGCCCTCACGGAGGTTTTCTTCCATTGGGATCGCCTGTTTGCTGTGAGCCCTGGCAGTTTGTGCAGGTGAACTGGTGCTGACTGCTGATTCAAGCCGTGTTTTGGGATGTTGGACGTGTCGTGGCCATCTCTACCACAGGGTGCACTTCCCCCCAGAGATGCTGCTAACATGGTCAACCCAATTTATCCCTGCTTTTCTTCCTGGTGGGGGGGGGGGGTGGGTGCGCAATGCAAAAGGGGTGGGTTCCTTGCTTCCGGAAAGTCCGTGATTGACCAGGCTGTCTGAAGTTATTGGTCTAGTCGTACTTGGAAAGGACAAACAATACCCCCCCACTTTGACAAGCATGAGGGAGAACTACCATCATGTTCATGGTTGCAAAGATGGTACTTGGCTTTGAAATGATTTGTTAGAAGCCTGAGCCCTGCTAGTTTGTTTTGAGTTGAGTGACTCGTGGTTGTTAAAAGAAAAAGAAGGGCACAGAAGGGCTGACACTTCATAAACAAAACCACAGCCGTCCAAAGTGCTAGTCCAAGGCCATAGAAGGGCCGACACTAAGCAAAACAAAACCACACCACCCGGTGAATTGTTGATGCTTCAGCTGTTCATAGCTAAAAACTGCACCGCCTTCGAAGCACTCGATTCGTCAGAACTCTCGGCTCCTTGCGCCCGAAGCGGGAAGGATGGGTTGCCTTGGTGAGAGTTCATGGACTTGAGTCGCTTAAGTGTGGTTGCCATTCTTGGCAAATGAACGTTTTTTTTCGCCATCTCGGGAAGTGAGTTGCTTCCTGGTCCGAATGGATGGTGTGTGGCAAAGGCAAAGACATCGAGGCACAGGTGTGTCGTGTGTCTCCCGCGCTTGACGTCGAGGGCGTGTGGTTGCCAGGAAAACGGCGACGCAGTTCGCGCATTTGTACCGGGAGAGGCGTCTTCAGTGCAGTTCCGACCTTTGCACGCTTTGCCACGCTTGCTTGATTCAATCATGATTCTTTCCTGGGCTGCTTAAACCCACTCCCTGAGTTCCTTGAATTTTGACTTTTCGGGAAGACAATTTTAGTTGTTGTACATAAACAGTTTGGACCTTGTGAGTAATACTATTCCTGAATCCCACGCCGCCAGATAGTTGTGGTTATCCCTGTAGTGGTGTTGCTTAACGGATACGCATTAGGATCAGGGATCCCCATTTTAGACCGGCGAAAATTCCCAGCCGACCTGCCAACAATGCTTTCAGTTTTGTAGGTGTCGCCCATTCAGGAGGCGGAGGCCAGGTGCGCGAGCCAAAAAACGGGGCCAAGAAGGTGAAACGACGACTTTGTTTGGCGAAAGAATGGCAAAGCTAACTTCCATTTGCTTAATAAATTGTTTTTATTTGCGCGCCCTGTTGGTTGAAAAGGGAATCTATCACTACTACTGGATTTTTTCTTGAGACTTAAGCAATGGGAGAAGCCAATGTCCCACATTCCACTTTGTATTTTTTTGCCAGGCCCATGCAGTGGCAGTGGCAGTGGTAGACATGTTTGCGCCTTGTTTGGCAAGAAGTGAGATGCAGGGGCCATCTCTTGGTCGCAGTTAGAAGTTGTTTGTTTTCGTTGAAGCCTACTGCTGATGGTGAACAGAAGTGATGAAAACAAGGCAATCGGGGTTGACAGTTGGAATGCAGGCTAGCCGTCCAAAGAGCGGGCAAAGGTCGGTTTGAGTGGGGAATTTCTTTTTCGGCACCCACGTGGATGCTTGACCTGGAAAAGGTGATACTGCGTATATATATATATATATAGTTTTATGATTGATGGCCTAAAAAAGCAGGCAAAGCAACCCCTACGGTGTCACTAAAGATAGTTGCAAGTTATCACCTGCGTCCAAGTGCCTGTTCAGACTCGCCGCAGTGTTCCCTCCGTCTGGGCTGGGACCGTCCCAGCTGGTCGTTGGGCAGCTGACTCGACCAGTCCCGGTTTGTTGCCAGCCCCAAGCCAATGTTTTGACCTCAAGTACATGTTGGTAAAGCTTAGGGCTTTCACAAGTACAAGCAAGTGAAGGTCGGAAAAACAGGCTCCCAAAAGCATACCCGAATGATCGGCACATTGTAGAAGGTATGCTAAGAGAGCCCATTCAGTTTGCCATAGGTCGTTTGAAAGCATGATGCCGGGTTTTTTGAGCGGAAGGGTGCCGGCCTCGGTCTTCTTGTTGGGTCGTTGTTTGGTGTGGTGGCTTGTTGCCTTGTTGCTGTGCGATGCTCTCTATAAAACAGCTAGAGCCACATGCTCCAGCTGATTTGACCGCCAACGGTGCGGTCCCGCAAAAAAAGCAATAAGATCCAAGCCCCAGGAAGAACATTATTTTGCTGGTGCTCAGCAGGGAATGGCCCAGGGTTTCCGGGGGACCCCCTTAAGGGAAGCCATAGGAAACTGAGAACCAGCAAGCTATGACCCCCGGACGCCTGTCATCTGAGCTACTGAGGAGCATCCAGTCAGAAACACAACACCCCCTTGGCTTATGGATTAGGCACGATGAGGCCCAGCAACTGCCGAGTCTTAGAAACCAGCAGGACTTTTGACAGGAGTCCCTGATTGTTTGAAGGTTTGGCCAATTCCAGAAGGAATTCCTGTAGCTCGTTTTGTTTCTGGGGCATTTGGAAATCGAAGCTCCTGTACACATTCCCTTGTAGCTCCTTTTTGGGATAGGCCGTCATTCATGCCAACCGATGACAAACAGAACAGAATGACACGACCCGCGGAACGCCGATTTGTCTCCCGCAGGCGGAGGAGCGTGCAGCGGAGGAGGAGGAGGCCGGGAAGGAAAAGAGACGCAGACCCACTTCTTGCCGGTGCGAAAGGTACTGTGGGAATGAACCCAGACATCCCCTCAAAGGAAACCGAAAAGGATGGTTTAGAGGGGTCATTCCCTCATTCCCTGCTGAGAACCAGCGAGACTTTGCTTCAATCTCCTGAGTGTCTGGACTTCGACTTCTTTGGCGCTTTCAAGCCATTTGTGGCGCCACAACACGCTATACGTCGATCCGCGGTCAAGCGGCCAAAGCTTTCCGCGCTGGGCGGGATTTGGCAAAGATGAGTATGAGTGAGCTGCACTTTTCCTGCCAAGTTTCGTGTTTGAAGTTCCGTGAGATTTCCTTCGACTATGTTCGTTTCAGCAGGCGTCAGCAACACACACACACACATGCTGTTGTTTTGCTAACATGCAGTCAGCTCTTATTTGTAAAACAAAATTGCAACACAGATAAAGCATGAAACGTAAACACAGCTGAATGTTGAATATGTGAATTGAATGTTCAAAGTAAAGTAAATATTAGTAAGCTTCAATGGATGCTCCCAGCTGCGGATGCGAGCCTGCCTTCTTGTTGAAGCCACGCGAGGAGGTACTACTGAACTTCTGCACAACCAGTTCGCAGTAGAGTGGCCGAGCCCATACCGGCCAGTCTTTGTTTAATCTTCCGCTGCTTTGGTGCTTTTGAAAAGGCCAAAAGGCAAACCACCATTCTTGGGCGTCCCCTCAAAGAAGACGCACCCATATGGGGGCCGTTCGTGAGTTGCACGCCTGAAGCTATGAACAGCGGCAACTTGTTGAACCGCGCAATTGGTAAAACTCAAGCCGCGGCCGCGAAAGGCCGGCGATTGGACCGGGCGACATGGCCGCTATTGTGGTGTAGTCACTGAAGTGATAGCTGAAATATCAGCCAAGTTCCAGGATTCAAGTGGGGATTACCTCAAACTCCTAGCATGTGGGTCGCCAAGCCTCCACATTCAGGAATTTTGTGCGGGATCCGTGAGAGCGGGGAAGTGGAAGACTGTGTGAGTTGGGCCCGCAACGTGATAGGTTTTCTAGTGCCCGAAGAGCCCAGAAGGGAGTTAGATCAGCTTCATCAGACATGTGGGAAAGTACATGAACACCCATCCGGGTGAGGAGCTCTCAAGTGTTTGTTTTGTAAAAGCAGCCAACCACCACCTATGCGCTAGCTTCGCGCGAGTGTCGCGCTAGCATTTTAGCTTCGCAGTCCCGCAACCTTTATTGTCCTTGCGCGGCCAGAACATGGAACTCACCCGTAGTGGAGCCTGTTCAGAGTCACACTGCAGTCAGACATGGCTCGGAGCTTGCAGCAGAACTTTCGAAGAATCAACGGCTCTGCGCGTAATGGAGCTGCTAGGCGCTCGGCGAAAGTGGGAGCTGCTAAGCAGCTGGTCCCAAAACAAGGTGGTCATCGGGCGACCTAGAAGGGCTTTGCGTGAGGTGTGGCCCACCACTGTGTGGCCCGGATGCGAGGAAGAAACTGCGAGATGCTGGCAGGGATACCTCCGTGCCAACAGTCGGGACAGCGGCTAAGCGATAAAAGCGCGACAACGCTATGCGGGGCTGGACAGTGTCATGCAGAACCTTTGTGCCCAGCGCTTTCTGGCCTTGAGTGCAACTGGTCAGCACAGTTGGCCAGCTTCCTACAAGCCATGCTGCCCCTGCAGCTGCGCAAAAGGTTGCACGAGTTACGTTCCAGCGGCAGTGGCAGCAGCGGCTCTTCGAACAACAAAAGATCGGACCGCCGCGGCTGTTTGCCTTTTTGCTGTCAGAGCTGTGGCCTAGGCACAGCTTCTCATGTAGTCAAGACCGTTGCAGCGTGTGCTTGCCGTTTCAAGGGGGCACGCTTGGAATTCTGTATTCACGGCCGTTTCAGGAACATACATTCTGACAACCTGCCATATATATAGATATTTATGTATATATATAGAAATATAAATATAAATATACATCTATATATATATATATATGTATGCCAGCCCCGCCGCAGGCGTCTGCCACCGCAGAGGTGGAAGCGGCCAGGGGCCCAGGGTGTGGTGGCCAGAGCTAACCTCACCTTCCGGTTGTTGAGTGGGGTTGAGATGGTAGGTTCTGGCTGAAGGCTATCCGCTTTTTGTTCTTTAACCAAAGTCCTTGAGCAACTGGGGTTTAACACGGAAACGATGCCTCCGTTTTGGAAATCCCGCTTTGGTGTCCTAAAACAGGTTTTGCAATCCCAACCTCGTCAGTTGGAGGGCCCTGGGAAACCTACGTAAAGCAGGTCGCCACTTTCCCAGCCATGTGTCTTTCTCTTTGAGTTACAGCATCTAACTGATTGTTGGTTGTTTGCTCGCTGGCTGGGTGAAGCCAGGCCAAAGCTGCTAAATCTGCATGCTGCGAGCCATTCCTATCGGCGCTTGCTGCGACTCTGCGACTATGCTTTGTGCATTCCTTGTGCAGGCGCAGCCGGTGCAGCCAGCACCAGCACCGCACTTGCAGGAGCAGCAGCCTGCAGCGGCGAGGGAGGTACGCAGGGCACTTGAGCAACAGGTATGCGCGGGGCCATACAGCTGGTAAGTGCATTCTTTTATGATTGGGTGGCCACACCTTTACTAAATTCGAGTAACATGATCTTCATGACAGAAAAAAGCCCCTTCAAAGTTTAGCCGCCCAGCGATGTTGAACGTGCGTGTGTGTCAGAAGGATTTGGGCCCGTGCTTGCGGGAAGCCTTCAGTGAGGGACGATTATAAGAACTTTGTTTAACAAGCTTTTTGTTAGTGAAAGCCCCGAGGGGTTGTGCCCGGAATCATTGTTTTCGCGCACTGGGACGACACCGACGCAGGCAGCTGCCCACGAACCCTCGTTTGGCAAAGCAGCTGAGGCCTGGATTGCTCAACAAATTCCACGGCACCAACACTGGACATAACTGGACCAAGGTCTACATTTCTGTCCGTTGGTGTTGTGAGTCGTTCGTATGGGTACTTGCTGCGACTGTGCTGCGGGCATTTGATGCGCAGGCACAGCCGGTGCATGTTGAGCAGTCGGTGCAACTGGTGCAGCCGGTGCAGCCAGTGCAGCCAGCGCCGGCATCACACTTGCAAGACCAGCAGCCAGCGGCGAGGGAGGTGCGGAGGGCACTTGAGCACTAGGTATGGTGAGGGATACAGCTGAACGCGTGGCCACACATTTATTAGCATAGTTAGTTTAAAGTTGAGTCTGCAGAACAAAGCCCCTTCAACGTTTAGCCGTGCGTGCGTGTCAGAAGGATATGGGCCCGTGCTTGCGGAAAGCCTTCAGTGAGCAGTGAGTTGGTGATCGGACGATTATAAGAACTCTTGTTGAACAAGCTTTTTGTTAGTGAAAGCCCCGAGGGGTTGTGCCCGGAATCATTGTTTTCGCGCACTGGGCAACGACACCGACGCAGGCAGCTGCCCACGAACCCTCGTTTGGCAACGCAGCTGAGGCCTGGATTGCTCAACAAATTCCACTGGACCAACGTTGGACATAACTGGACCAAGGTCTACATTTCTGTCCGTTGGTGTTGTGAGTCGTTCGTATGGGTACTTGCTGCGACTATGCTTTGGGCATTTGATGCGCAGGCACAGCCGGTGCATGTTGAGCAGCTGGTGCAACTGGTGCAGCCGGCGCAGCCGGTGCAGCCAGCGCCGGCATCACACTTGCAAGACCAGCAGCCAGCGGCGAGGGAGGTGCGGAGGGCACTTGAGCATTGGATTTGGTGAGGGGCCATTCAGCTGGTAATTGGTGCCTGGCAACATTTACGGGAATATTTAATTTTGATTCAAGCTGCCTGATCTTGATGACAAAACAAAAGCCCTTCACTGTGTGTGTGTGTGTCGGCACGCGCGCGCGCGCCTTCGTGCGTCCGTGCATGCGTGCGCATGTATGCGTGTAGGTAAACATGTATGTATATATATATATATGTGTGTGTGTACGTATGTGAGTGAAGATGTATGTATATGTATGTGCATGTGTGCATGTGTGTGTGCATGTGTGCATGTGTGCATTTGTGCATGTGCATGTGTGCATGTGTGCATGTGTGTCTGTGTGTCTGTGTGTTTGTGTGTCTGTGTGTCTGTGTGTTTGTGTGTTTGTGTGTCTGTGTGGCTGTGTGTCTGTGTGTCTGTGTGTCTGTGTGTCTGTGTGTCTGTGTGTCTGTGTGGCTGTGTGGCCGTGTGGCTGTGTGGCCGTGTGGCCGTGTGGCTGTGTGTCTGTGTGTCTGTGTGTGTCTGTGTGTCTGTGTGTGTCTGTGTGTCTGTGTGTCTCTGTGTCTCTGTGTGTCTGTGTGTGTCTGTGTGTCTGTGTGTGTGTGTGTGTGCTTGCGCGTGCGTGTGTGTGTGTGTGTGTGTGTGGGTGTGGGTGTGGGTGTGTGTGTGTGTGTGTGTGTGTGTGTGTGTGTGTGTGTGTGTGTGTGTGTGTGTGTGTGTGCGTGTTTGTGTGTGTGTGTGTGTTTGTGTGTGTGGGGGTGTGTGCGGTTGAGTGGGTGGGTCAAAAAGACTTGGGAAGCCTTCAGTGCAAAGATGACACGGGGCAAGCTGTGCTTCACCAGTGGGTCCCCAGCATGTTAGTGACAGGATGGTTGCAAGAGCTTATGTTAGAAGAGGTGTTTGTTAGTGAAAGCCTGGATGATGTGGGTTGTGCCCGGATTCATTGTCTTGGCGCACTGCGACGCATGCAGCACAGCTGAGCCCTGGATTGCTCAGCATTGCCAATGGGACGCAAGTTGCCGGTCCATGTATTTCTGCCCGTTTGTGCTGTGAGCCGTTCGTATGATTTGTGCATTTCTTGTGCAGGCACAGCCGGTGCATGTTGAGCAGTCGGTGCAACTGGTGCAGCCGGTGCAGCCGGTGCAGCCAGCGCCGGCATCACACTTGCAAGACCAGCAGCCAGCGGCGAGGGAGGTGCGGAGGGCACTTGAGCACTAGGTATGGTGAGGGATACAGCTGAACGCGTGGCCACACATTTATTAGCATAGTTAGTTTAAAGTTGAGTCTACAGAACAAAGCCCCTTCAACGTTTAGCCGTGCGTGCGTGTCAGAAGGATATGGGCCCGTGCTTGCGGAAAGCCTTCAGTGAGCAGTGAGTTGGTGATCGGACGATTATAAGAACTCTTGTTGAACAAGCTTTTTGTTAGTGAAAGCCCCGAGGGGTTGTGCCCGGAATCATTGTTTTCGCGCACTGGGCAACGACACCGACGCAGGCAGCTGCCCACGAACCCTCGTTTGGCAACGCAGCTGAGGCCTGGATTGCTCAACAAATTCCACTGGACCAACGTTAGACATAACTGGACCAAGGTCTACATTTCTGTCCGTTGGTGTTGTGAGTCGTTCGTATGGGTACTTGCTGCGACTATGCTTTGGGCATTTGTTGCGCAGGCACAGCCAGAGCATGTTGAGCAGCTGGTGCAACCGGTGCAGCCGGCGCAGCCGGTGCAGCCAGCGCCGGCATCACACTCGCAAGACCAGCAGCCAGCGGCGAGGGAGGTGCGGAGGGCACTTGAGCACTAGGTATGGTGGAGGGTGGGACCAAGTGTTTTTGGAAGGCGGCGAAGTCCCAGGCTGCTTCCGACGAGCTATCAAAACTTGGCTTTTGAATAATGATGCCACAACGTTGGCAGGAGCTTTTTTTCACGTGTCAAGTTGTCAAGGCCTCCAATTGTTGCGCCGGAATCACGGCTCTCGCACTTCGCTGCAACCATTGTCTATAGCCTATGAGCCCTGTTGTTCATTGTTGGGGAGGGTGATTCAATTGGAAGCCAAAGGAAAGCCACCATTTTCCCAATTTGGGGGTCCAACCCAACAACGACCAGGGAAGTCACGCCGGTGTGTCAGGACCAGAGTTGGTGCCTTTGAATGGCAAACAGAAACAAAAAGCAAACCAAAGCCCATTTTGCAGGGTCCAACTTTTTGTGACACATACAAAGTCGGGTGAGCAGAGCCGTTTACCTGTGCCCTTGACAAAAAATGTGACAAGCAATGCTCTAGCACTTTTGCCAAGGGTAAAGGGCACCCTCTGCTTAAATGTCTCACTCGAGTTTCCGGACTTCTTTCTTGGAAAGCCTTTTTGGCGCCCGCCAAGTTTGAAGTGTTCGGATCTCAGAATTTGGTAGAAGTTTGGTACCATTCCACCCTGGGTGTCGATTGATCCATGGCCTTCTCAACACCCCCCTTTTCCCGGCAGGCAGATTTTTTTGGCACGTGCTTCATTCCAGTTTTAGTCATGGCTCATGTGGGGGGGGGGGGCGTCTGGGTAGGTTGAGCTGATAGATGCAATGTTCTCTACACTGCATGAATTGGGTGTCACAATTCGGACCCCCAACCATGCCGGTTTCGGTGGTTTTCCCTTTAACTACCTCAACATGATACCACATTCACCTGTTCTGAGAGCAAGTCAATGGAGATTTGCAAGTTTGAGACTCTGCAGCGTAGACCGGCCAGCACAAAGCTTCAGCTATTGTTATGGCCCAGGCAACTATTGGGGTTTTCATGAAAAGCTTCATTTCTGCAATTGGTGGGTTCACAATTGCCCTTTATTTGTCCTTTTGAATCTTTTCCCTGGTATAAATGGGTGTGGGAAAAAATATTCCATCAGGTGTCTCCTTACCGATCCAGGGAGGAAGTGCTTGAGGTTCATGGGGCTCCAACGGACTGGATTTAAACCCGTGGAACTTATTTCAGCTAATCGGAAAAATACCGCTGGTGAAGGCACCAGTCTTTTGTGGAGTTGCATGGTTCTACAATTAGATATGTTACATGTTAGCCGTCCGCCCTGTTCATGGTGAATAGGGACGAACCTACACTCTAATTGTTCGGCCTTCAATCAGCGGCGATATGATGTTCGTGAATGCCTTGTAAAAAGATGACCCCAGGAGTGTCCAGTTTTCGTTTGCCAATCTCCAGGAATTTCTACTCGCCCCGTGCGAGTTTTATATGAACCGTTTGCTCCAACGGTTGGACCAATGGTGTGAGTGTACATGTGAGTCTCGTGTGTCTTTGCGCTATGCAGGAGTCGTGAAACAACTTGGGACACGAACAACCTCCGATCTACTGCATGAGATGAGTGGCAAGTGCCGATTTTCCACCGCAGCTCTATGACAGTTTCTGGAGTGGTTCAAGCAAGTTGACATTCAACTGGGTGTGAGTTTTAATGAGGGACCCTTTGGTGGACATCATTTAGGTGGGGATCCATGTCCACCAACCACTTTCTAGGTGGCTCATGGCCCACTGGAAGGAAACCGGGGATACTTTACAGGGTCATTTCCTCATTCCCTGCTCATGCCAAGAACCAGCAAGTTTTCCCACTTTGCCATTGGCGCTTCAAGAAGCCCTTTCCAAGCTGAACATTGGAGACTTCGGGGCTTCAGGTTTCGGGGCTTCGATGCAATCAGGCGATGGCTGGGCTGTTGCGACGAAAATTTCCTCTGGCCCGTAGGGTTCGAGATCCACCTTCAGGTGAAGCCTCTCAAGCGTAAAAGTCGCATCGGAGATCTGGGAGGGGCACCCACTCCTCAGGCACCTGAGGGCTAGGGGTTATTGAGCCTTGCCAGTGGAGGTCTTTGGGACGTAGGGTCCTAGCCCAACTGAGCCTGCCATTTTGTTTGGCCAAGTCCGAATCCTCACGACCCGGAGCCCTAAGAGACCTCAAGGCTGCCGCCAGAGGACATCCGCTAGTTTCCCCATGTTGGTCCATGTTTGGCCAGTTTGAGTCATAACCCCAGAAGGTTCGCCGCGTATGCCTGGGTCCTTTGGGCAAGTGAGCAACAGATTTCCCCTTATCCCTGGTTTGTTGCACAGTGCGCACTTCGGCATGGAGGGGCGACCACCTGCAACACATGCCCTTGAGGAATCAAGGATGGCCGACTGGGTCAAGGAGGACTTCATGAAGGGTGGAAAACGGAAGTGAAGACTGCTGAGATGCATATTGGCAGAACATGCTGGACACGGATGCAGCTTCCAGATGTGGGTATATATGTGTGCGTACCCCCTTTCGGCGTGTGGTTTAACGGGGGCTTCAAGCAGAAACCACTCATCTTAGGGACCAGCATGTTTATTTCACACGCACACGACGTGTTTCCAGCCGCAACAGCTGCTTCCGTGCCGCTGACCTCTTTTGGGCCAGGCAACGGTCGGGCAGGCCGCAGATTCGGCGGAGGCGGCACAGAAGTCTGAGGCGCGACAGGAGCTCGGGAAAACGGGCTCTTTTGGTTGGATCCATGTGACGAGCGGGGCATCGCTTCACTGGACGCACAAATGTCAAATGCCGCTTTTAGGCGCTTGAAGTCATCCTTGAAGCCATCCTTGAAGCCATCCTTGAATGACGCTTTGAGCTCCACTCCATGACAAGGGGGCTACATAAGTCACAGTTGTTTGGCTGATTCCAGGGGATTTGCAGTTGCCTTGGGTGTATCTTGAGTTCCTTAGTTTTCCACACTACGAATTGTTCGGGCAGAGTTATAGTGGTAAGCATATCCGTGCTTGAATCGCTTTTCGGGAAGACAATTTTAGAGGCATGTAAATATATTTGACGTTTTGCTTGAGATTGAGCCGTCCCAATAGAAACACGTTGGCAACCCGTTGCACCCCCTATCCTATGAATACACAAGCGCAAGCAGCGCTCAGACTGGCAATGAAATAAAGGTTACCAAATTCGACATGGTAACCCATGTCAGCAACCCGCCACAAAGCCCCGTCAAGAAACCCGCACTGCTATGGTCTCATTTCGCCGCATTTCGCTTACGAAGGTCCGATACCCTAAATTCCAAAAGGCTCCCTCACAAGGAAAGCAATTTTTCGCCGTGAAGGTGCCAGGGAGGTGACAGGACGCACGACTTTGTGTGGATTGAATGGCGACCTGCTGTCTTGCATTCCACTTTTTACTTCCTAGGGGGCAACGCAGTGTTACACAAACAGTTTGCGCCTTGTTTGGCAAATCCACTCATGAGTGACTGCACAAGTTGTCACAGTCAGAAGCAGTTTTAGTTTGTTTCCCTCGATCGATGCCAAAACAAATGCCCGGAGGTACAAGCTCTAGCAGACGAGGTGGCAGCGGTTGCTTTGCAGGGGTTTGCGCAGCCGGCAGATGGGAAGGAAGCTGCTTCTGCAGCAACCACGCTTCAGCCCGTGCAAGAGGCCAGTGTCAGCGTGCTTTTTTGTTTTGATTTGTTCGTTTGATTTCTCAGCTGCCTACCCGGCAGGAAATTACCACATCTAGGTCACCAGTCTGTTTTTTGCACATGAAGCTTGCATTCTGCGGTGTGTGAATTGTCGAACTTCGGTGCCCCTTTGGAATCTTGGTGGAGCATGGCGCCAGTTGGTCGCCCCCAAGGGCGACTGTTTAGCTTGCCTTTTGAACTGAGCACTTGTTGCTGTGGGTATATCTTGAATTCAGGGTCCCCCAAAATGGTGGAAATCCCTGTTGGTTTCCCTTTAAAACCCACCACGGGGTAGCCTCAAAAAAGACTCTGCGAGCCTCTCCACGTGGAACATCTGCTCCACTGGACTCACCAATGGCCCAACCCCAGGGTAGGTTCAGTGCTTTCACCTGTGCACGTTCTGTTCGGATATCGGGGGAGACCACAAAGAGGTTTCTTCTTGGTGGGTTCGGGGAAGATGCCTACCAGGAAGCTTCCACAGGTTCCTTCAAAGCTGGCTCAATCAAGTTCATGGACCCCCAAAAGAAGCTATGTTGGTGGGGCTATCTATGGATAAGCCCAGGATAAGCCCTAAGGCCTTAATCTTAGGCCCAGAGGCTCCTGGCTCGGGATTGTCAAAACCTGGCTGTTTGGAGAGACCTAAATTGATCGGGAGCGTCTGGGGGGTTAAGCTCGTTACGCCCTTTTGGAGCCCCATGCTTCAGCTCCGACAGGTGCCCGAGCGCAGTCTTCAGCGCAAGGAGCGGAAGACGGAAGGTCACGCGCGCGGTGTTCGAGGGGTCACGAGTGATAGATCCAGTCTCAAAGGCAGGTATGGGCTTTGGAGGATGGGTGTTGGAGGTAGGATGTAATTTCCACAAAATTTAAGGGGCATCTACTGCATGACAAGCTTAGTGTATGTTAGTAGCATGTAATAAGCATCCGTGTTTGCAGAAACCATACCTGGACATGCCCTTGACCCGTTGGTCCCTTCGGAATGCCGGGTCAAACAGCTGCCTCTTGGAAGCCTTGTATGCAGGATCTAAGAACCCCACAGGGACAGTGAATCAGTTGCCCTGTTTACACCCATCCCTGCCCATATTTTGCAGGATTGCTTTTTGAGTCTTGTTTGGGCTGTTCAAAGGCAATCCGCAAGACGCTGAGGTGGTTAAGGGTTTGTCCCCCCCCACTGACCCAACCTGTAGTGATTTATCTCCGTGGATGAAGGGCTGGTATTGGGCAACCTCTCCAACCATGAACGGCCCGGAGTTGTCCGGTGGGTTCCGCCATGTTCCTGTTGGGCAGGGTTGCCTGTATTTGATTACATACACTTCATTCATGTATTCGCATTGGCTGTCTCAAAAACTAACCTAGCTCTATGCGTTCTCCAGTTGTGTGGCACCGTTTGTTGCTTCGTTGTTCGGGGTCAAGAAGCGAGTTGGTTCCCGACCACAGGGTTGCTCGTTTGGCCTTTTAGAATCTTTTAGACAATGACCACGCTTCATGAGTAAATACGAGCATTTGTCAGCGGTGTCTGTTGTTCCCTTTACCACGCACCATTGTTCTATTCTGGCGCGGTCTTTGGCCATGTTCAGGGGCCACTGGCCTCCAGCCACCTTTCAGCTGGAGTCACTTTGGAGATAGTGACATTTTTTTTTGGGTCAGCCATGGACAACAAGCAGCCGATTTTGAGGAGTCCCTGGATGAGCTGCTGGCTCCAGAGACCTTGGACCTACCACCGGGCTGGGAGGAGCCGGGAGCCGGTTCGGCCGAACGAAGCGTGGGATGGGGTGGGCAGCTACCCAGATCTGTTACGCCACGCCGGGCAACTTGGAAACTTTTGGTCACTTTCGGAGGAAAAAGCCCTTTGGCACGGGATTTGGGTGCTGGGTCCTTTCGGAGGGTAGCCGATTTTGTTCCGGGGGATTTGGGTGGACGACTGGGTTTCTCGCAGTTGGTGGAGGGGTATACCAGGGTGACAGTAGACGCCGCGATTCCTTGTATGCCGGGAAGTAAAAGGGGATGCAACCAAACGTCAGGGGTTCAAACACCCAACCCATCACTCAGAACATGGTCACGGAAGCTGGGTTACACCAGGGTGAAAGAGAAGTAAAGGCAAGTGCCCAAACTGGGTTGGAATCGTTGCTTTTTGGGTTTGAGCCAGGTTGGCGGCAAGCAACACGTGTGTCTTTGCTTGGCAAGTCCACTCAGGCAGTCCAGTTAGGGCAGAAATCAATTGGTCCAGGCTTCTTGGAAGTTTCTCCGTTTTGCCTGCTCCAAATCTGAGTGCTAGAACATGGACAAGGACCCTCTAGCTTTGTCTTACCGGAGAATTGGATGGCCATGGTACCGCCCGGATGGACCAGAGGCCACATTATTCTGGTTTCATTGCCCCCACCATGACTAGAATTTGTTGGATCCGGCCAATTCGCTTTGGACCAGCGTCTCCCACTTCGGCAACGCCGGGTAACACGGAATATAGGGGGCTAAATGATTGCTATCCACTCAGGAAGGCAACTAAAGTGCAGGTTATCCCGAACAACCCCAGAACCCTCTGGAACCCTCCCTGAAAGCTGCCCTGAACGACCCCAGAACCTATTTGGGCAGAGACCCCATCTTTCAGCTTTTGGGAACAAAGGCCCTGGCTGTAAACGTTACGCTCCAGATTAAACAGCCGAAGGCAGTATGGTCAAACGACCACGAGCCCGGAGCCCGGGTATGACGGAAGCCATGCGGTGCCGAGTTCTTCTTTTGGGCCGGGGGGAGGGGGGTTGCTTTGGATTGCTCGACAAATATACAATGAAGGTTTTCCAGTTTTCCAAGTTCCTGGTTTCAGCCTTCGAACAACCATGCAACCCAGACAGATGGCCTTTTAGAAAGGAAACATCAGGAAACCAAACGGGCATGTACTATCCTGCTCGGCTTTTTGGACACAGTGGGTGCTGCATCACATCTCATGACATTAGGTGTGCTGCTCATATCTGCAAAGCAGGCTGCCTGCAAAACTCCAGTGGTCCCTTACTTGTGTTTCTGTGTCGCCCTATTCAGAAGGGCCACAAGACAAACCTCGGTTTGCGTACGATGTTTGGTTCGAAAGATTCATTCAGTGGTTGGCATTTGCTGGCCTCGGAAACCCGGAAGATCATGACCTTCTCAATGCCGGGAAGTGAGCACGACGCTCCTGATCCCAGGAAGCTCCAGAGCCAGTGATGTATATATATATATAGATTGGTTTGCCGAATCAACTGACTTGGGATAGAACGAGCTTACTCAGACTGAAGCCGTTCATTTAGGGATCGCTAGTGTCAGGTTTATGAGTTGCACACGTATTGTATCAGCAGCAACGGCAATTATCTTGCGGTTCATTTGGGGGAGAAGATGCGGACACCTTCCGATTTGCCTTTAGTGTCCAAATGGGATTAAAGAATGCACCCGGAATAAAGACAACTGGGGGGCCCAAAAGAATTAGTAAATGCACCTGGAATAAAGACAAGCCCCTGCCCCCCCCCCCCCGCCCATGAAAAAAACATGTCCCAAAAAAAAAGTCACAAAAAAGAAGAGAGAAAGAGAGAAAGGACAGGAAGGAGAGGAGAGATAGCCACCCCTTGTCCTTGGATCTTTGGTACCTTGTTCCTTAAATCCAAAATTGTCAGTTTTACCAAACCCATGTTTTCTTACATGTCTCTTGTTTAAAACCTGCCCACAATCAAACCCACAAAGGGGGTAGTACTTCAGCCCCCAACTTGACACTATTTCAGGGGCCCCCGAAATAAAGTCTTGTTGCCTGGCCCCCTTAAAAATACAACCTGCCCAGTGCAATTGCCTCTTAGCTAGTCAAGTAGTTAGACAGCATAGGTGAGGCTGGCAGTGCTTCATGCTGTGTTGTTAGATTTGGGCCTGCTCCTCAAATCCAAAATTGTCAGCTTTATCAAACCCATGTTTTCGTACATGTCTCTTGTTTAAAACCTGCAAACAATCAAACCCACAAAGGGGGTAGTACTTCAGCCCCCAACTTGACATTATTTCAGGGGCCCCCGAAATAAAGTCTTGTTGCCTGGCCCCCCCAAGAAAAACAAAAGGAAGCTGCAGCAATACTAAATCAAATGGAAACTCAAGTCTACCGATACTAAATCAAATTGAAACTCAGTTCCAAATCTCAAAAGGGAAGCTCCAGCAATACTAAATCAAATTGAAACTCAGTTCCAAATCTCAAAAGGAAGCTCCAGCAATACTAAATCAAATGGAAACTCAGTTCCAAATCTGAAAATGAAGCTCCAGCAATACTAAATCAAATGGAAACTCAAGTCTACCAATACTAAATTAAATGGAAACTCACTTCACCTGGATCTCAAGATAGTATTCTGGGTACCTCCTTCGTTGAGGTGGGGGGGGCCCCCCCTTTACTAATCCCATTTGGACATTATCCTCGGACAATTGGCAGGGGTGCCAGCTGAACTTTCTGAACCAGTACGGGATATGGCTCATGTGGAAGAGCATTAGAATATGTGAGCCTCACATACGCCACGTGTTGCTTATTTGCAGGGGAGTGAATGCGAGTACTCATTTTCCTGAAGCCTGTCACGGCAAGCTGAGGGCATACTACTTCTGGCACGAGCCCACGGACACTGTGCAGCCCCTTGGCAATGCGATGTTTGAGGTGTTTGGGCGAATTTGTGCCTGTGGATTGAACAGGGGCGCTTCTGGGGGTGTACTTGGGGTTAAAGAAGCCACAATAGGATACTCTTTGCTTCCCACAAGACACCATGAGCTTCCAACTTAGACTGAGGAAGGGTATGTCTACGGATTTGTTCTTTCCCGAGCCGTGTATTCACCATCCGGGTCTGTTGGATCATTTAGGTGTTTAAATTCGTCAAGGATGGTCACTGAAGGTTATTTGCAAATGGCAACCGTTGCTTGCTATTTCCAAGGTTTAGAATTTTCAAGGGCGCCCGTTCCAGCAACAATCGATTAAGGCTATCATCGTGACAGAGAGCCAAAGGGAAAAATAACCTTGTTTGTGGGGGGGGGGGGGCGGTTTTCCCTCATCCTAAGGTTCTAGGACTATCCTCCATGCAACGCGCCTGCTTAGATGGCCCAAGGGTTAGCTGAAATGTTCAGCAAGGCGCAGTTTTCCCCTAGGCAGCCCTGAGGTATCTCCAGGCAAAACCCCGCAAACCATTACAACTACGGATGCTGACCGAAGTTGTCCAACCCGCATTTGTTTTGGGGAAAGACCCTTGATACAACTTTTAAAAGTCGGGTGGGAAGCTTTGAGCTGTTCAGTCAAAAAGTGAAGCAGGCAAAACACAGACCTCAGGGTGAAATGTTTGGGGTGAGCGGGCCTGGGTCAAAAGGGACCAGACATACCAGGTCGCACAGAAGCCGATGCCGATGTGTGCATGAAGAGGTTTGCCCGCATTCTTTGGCTATAGCCAGCTCACAGATTGCGGGCAAAACGGGTCCCATGAGGAAGGAATTAGTAGGGATGGCCTAGTCCGGTGAGCTATAGCGCCTGGTGCGGTTTGAATGCGTTGTTGGGCACCAGCCTCAGTTGCCCCACGTAGAACCGTAGAATCATTGGGTAATAACCTATTTACAAAGTTGGCTGGTGCGTTAGTATTCACTGCAGAATGATCTGAAGAGGGACTCTCTAGAACATGGGGCCCCCTGCGAGACCCAACCCACCACTGGGACCCAAAGCAAGATTGTCTAGTTCTTGTGTTCTTCTTTTCTTAATTTTTCAGTCATTCGGAACACCTAAGCACCCATAAACTAAACTACGTAACTACCTTGGTCCTTGGGACCTGGTGTGAGGCTCTCTTCCTTTTTCGGGGGTCTCGGCCATGTAAGGTGGGAGCCCCCAGATTCTCCGAAAGCAGAGGCAGGGCACGAGCTTGAGGTCAAAGCTTTAACAAGGGATCTGGGCTTAGGCTGTAAAGTAGGCCCCCCAGTAGTACCCTTTTACCGTTTCTTTTTTGGTTGGGAGGGTTCCCCTACCAAAATAGACGACAGAAAAAAGGGTAACCCTGTTCTAACCTCTCTACTGGAGGACCTAGTAAATATGCAGATGAACCAGCCACCTGCCCATTTCCCAGGGTTTCATTTTGAGTACCTGCAGCTGACCCACAGCCATGTAGTTTTTGTATACGGATGTTTTAAGCAAATGTTTAGGCGGACGCGATTAGAAGGATAGGAACTTTCTCTGGTCGTGTTTTGTTTTGAGGACATCACACTTAGAACGTAAAAACAACAACATACACACATATATATATATATATACATATATATATATATTATATGCACAAAAAAGTTGACGTTCTATGCTCGATATTCTATTTGGGTGCTGTACGCAGATTGTAGCAACGAGCTCACCGATTCCAGGGTAAATCAAGCTAAAACTTGTGATTGTAAACAGATTGTCATTTAGATATGATTCTGTATATATATATATATATATAGATATAGATATACATAGGAGTTCGGCAATTATTTCTTTTCACGCCTTAGCAGTGTGCAGTATTGCCGGGTTTGGGGTTTGTGTGGTGGTCCACTCCGCCAGTTTGTAGCGGACATGTTGTGTGTTGGGGCTCAATGGCTCAGCCGCCTGCCGAAGAGTGAAGTAGGTATGTGTTGCATGCATTTGAAAGGCATCACTAGTTCTTGGCAAGTTTCTCGGCTTGTTATTGGCTGTTTGGTTCTGTTCATGTTTAGTAGGGGGCTGCCAAAAAACACACCATGCCAAGGGTTCTGAAGAAAGGCACTCGTTCACGAAATTGTATTTTCCTGAGTCCCACTTGCCACCAAAGCGGTGCTGATCCTTTTTGGAATCCGTCATTTGGTCCGGGCGGTTTCTTTCTTGGGGTTCCATTTGCTTGTTTCAGGATGGCTAGCTACTAGGCCTTGTCCAACCCACCAGAAAGATGGTCGAAGCCCTGTTTGCTCTGGCCGCAGCCGAATGCTCGAACTCTTGATCATGGTTATGTAAAGTAATGTATATGTACATTTTGACATCTGACACCAGCACAGGCAGTTGCGTATCCACCATGCAACTAGTAAGATGTTTTGGACGATATTCACCCTTCTGTGTAGGTGTTGTCGTTACTATTCAGCACCCAAACAGCTTTAGCTGTCTGTTTGGCCTTTGGCAACTCACCTGGTTCAGAAATTTCCCATATTGTCCGTCTTGGTTGTTTTTACAAACCATCAGCTTTTCGGCAATGATTTACAACGAGTTTCCTTTTGGGAATGGGACATCTACGGACCCCTGTGGTTAGTTATAAGCTTAGCACGTTGCCACAGCCAAGTCGCACACCAGATCACGGGGTCCGCTACAACATATGCCTATGAATATGCACAGAAAACCACGTACACATGCAAACATACAGATCAATCTGGTATCTATGTGCATACAGATAGAAATGCTCATCTCTCTCTCTCTCTTTGCTTGCTTACGTGTGCGCACACTAAACACGGCACCCACAGCTTTCCATGGTTGTCACAGGCCTTCCGCAGCATGGACTCGGACGTCACCGAGGCGAAATTTATCCGGGCCCACCGTGCGCTATGCATTCGATGGCCCAATGGCCTTTGGACTCCTCACGTCCTGAACTTTTTTCGAGTTGGTTGCTATTTTAGTTGTAAGCAGAAGTTCAGAGCTTTTGTTGGCCACTCATGAAGTAAGGAACCATAGACAAAATTCGATACTTTGAGCAAACTCAGATGTTGATTCGCTGTACCACAAAGGTGTTGCATGCCGTGGAATTATCCCAGGTTGTTGTCCAGTTTCAACTCTTAACTGGTAGTAGGTGTTAGTACGGTGTTAGTAGATTGTTTCTGGGTATCTCAGTCTAGCAAAATGAGATTCCTCTACAACATGACTGAAATTTTGGGTTTCTATGTGAACCCGTGGGTGGCAGTGGGTGTGATTAAAAGAGAAACCCTTAAAGGCTCGAGAAGTCCATCTTGTCCCAAGCCCACCAAACAAGAAGATACAAGCTGCCACTGAACAACTGCGCTCCAGAAAGTTGGAACTAGCTTCTTGAGCGCAAGTTTGGCACTCCCTAGCTTGGAATATCTCCAATATGTTTTGTTCCTTGTAGGAAAACACACTTCAACATTTTGCCAGACAGCTAGACGAAAAGGTACCACCCAACTTCATATAAGCAGTCCAAGTCAGGAAGGCTCAAGGAGGTTTCGCTCGTGCTACCCCGGTTTGGTGCCGGTCAACTTCCAGAAAGCCCCAAGAGCCAGCAAGTCTATCCCAGGGCACCCTACTTGCATTTTAAACATCACCCACCAAGGATCAATTCATCTAAAAGTGACCCAAGAGGTGATGTTTAGAACGGCCTGAAAAGGTTAATTAGGGAACCCTGTATTCATCGGAATCAACAGGAACTGGCATGTCGTTTTTTTCGTCAGCTTCCCTTTTGCACCCAGGCATAGCAACGAAGGGAACCTAAGAAAAGCTGTTTTTGTAGGAACCACCACAATACAACTGCCAAGTGCTTTCCTCCCCCCAGTGCCATGAAACCCACCAGTGGGTCCAACCTTGACCGTTTTTTTTTGGGTGTACCAAGCCAGGTCCCATGTTCCGTTCGGGCAGTGCAGGTGCTGTATCGAGCTGGCGATCGTCGCGATTCAAGCATCTTGGTGAAAAAGCATGTTAAAATGGAACTGCAGAGGAACACCATGTTCTCTCCCCATCCACATGAAATGTTTGAACAGTTTCAGTGAACCCTGCCAAGGCTTCTCGGGCCCCACAAAGTCTGAATGGTCTTATCCCATGCAGTGGTGGATTCTAAGTTTACTCACCGGCAGGGTTTCCTGCCTGCCCAGGTGAGAGAAGCCGCTAGTAATTGCTTGCCGGCTCTGAACTGTTTGAGATTCCCTTTGCCGACATGTCCTCTCTTGCCTGTGGTCCGTTTGGGCGGGGGGACATTGGGGGGTGGGGCTTATTGGGTCTGAATCACAACCTGATTTCCATGTACTTCATGATAGCTGCATAGTTTTTGACCAGGGCTCATTTGGAGGGCTCAATACGCTTAGTATGAAGGGTAGCCATCATTATGTTCTGCAGTTTGTTCAAGGGTGAAGTCACCAGCATGGTGTTGTAGTCAGGGTAAACATTTGGAGGGCCGAATCACTTTCAGTGCATCTCCCGTTTTCGCAAACAAGAATATGTAGTTGCCCCGGGTATTTAGGGATGCTTACCCGTCCTTTTTGGATCCTGTTGGTGGTATTGTGTTAAACGTTAAGCATCAAAGGGACAGGCCAAATTAAATAAGTTAAAGTTCGCTTCTCACTTGCGCGGCGTTCAGCAGCTGGCAACTAATATCTGGACACCTGTTTCCTGGAGATCGCCAAAAACATGACTCACCAGTATTGGTGTCTTGTTTCTCTCGTTTCCATGGTTGCTCTTCCAAAGTTCCCCCCAAACTTGGTTCATAGCCTCTGGCTACTTGAGTGGCAATCCCGGCCCGAGTTGTCACCCATTTGTGTGTGTGTGGGTGGCTGTGTGTGGTTTTGAGGATACCTGTCATTTGGTGGTTAGGAAAAGAAAAGAGGACACCCACCGCGGTTGTTTTTTGTTTGTTTCTGGAGGGGTCCCCAGAGCCGCTTAGGCGACTCCGCCCTGGCTGCGGCTGCCTCGGTTGGACAAACATCATCTCAGTTTCCCAAAGCGAATCCAACGGATCTTAGCTTCCAGTTTCCCAGCTACCCTTAAAATAAGGGACATCACCCCATTATTTTGAGGCAATGCCTCTTTTTTGTTTGACTAGTTTGAGGGTCTCAGGTACGTTTTTTGTCAAGGTCCCAAAAGAATTGTGTGTTTGTCAGTCGGTCTTTTTGACAATTGAGGGAATGGCCCCCCATCAGCCATCGGACTTTCCCAGACCTGGCTGGACTGCTGAACATGAGGTTCAGCAGCAAATCCCTCCCCTTGGAACAAGAATCCAAAGGGGCGTGGTTCAAGCTGTGGTTCAATCTTGGAGCAAGGCGCTGGCCAAGGTTGATTAACTGGCTTTGTGGAGCAAGCAGAAGTTTAGGTATGGGAACGCCCTTGCCACTCATCCACGCAAAAGGTTTCATCCGCAGGTGCCCCTGTGTCCTTTCTTTTTGTGTGGGGTTGCGCTTCAAGAACGGCCAACAAAAGCAACTGGCCGTTTTGGTAGGGAATTGGTGAATGGCCACATATCTCTGGTGAATATATTCCTCGTTGTGTGCCACTTGTTGGCAAGCCTACCCACGTTGCTGACCCCAACTGGAGGCTCCTGGCTTCGACCATGTTCCTCAAGGCCCCAGCACCAGTTCTCTCGCAGCCCGAGTTGGATTTTTAACCCTCAGTTCCTGAGTTTCTGGAATTCAGTCACTTTTTGGGAAGACCAGCGGCAAATAAACATTTTGGACTTTTTGGGCCATCCACTCAGGTGAGAACCTTTTGGGGACTTCCGCGTGGCAAGCACAAAACGACTGGCCAAGCTGCCCAGCTCGATGGGAAGTGGCCTGTGCCAGGATGGCGGAGGGGAAAAGCTGCAGTTGGCAGCTGTTCTGGTGCCCATCTGCCCATTTGGAGCCCGCGGGGTCGGGGACTGGACACATGGACTTGGAAGACCCCCCTTTCCCCCCTGCGTACTAAACTTCCCCAGAACTAGCTCCCCTGTTCGATTTTTTTTTGGGGGTCCCCTTCGTGTTCCACTAGCCAGGCAAAGGCAATTCGTTTTTTTTGCTGGGGTCCTAATTCCAGCCAAGCTTCCATTTGTGTAAGATTCAACAAAGAAACACTTAATGGTTTTAAAGGGAATCTATCACTACTGGAAATATGTTTTTTCCTGGGGGCTTAAGAAAACGGAAGCAGGTAAATGGAATCCCCGAGTCCCAACTCCAGCCCAAGGTGCTCAACGCCGCAGCGGCGGATCTGGAGCAGTTCGTAAGGCGCGATCCATCGAGTCAACGGCTGCCGGTGACCTCGGACGACACAGAACATGCGTTTCTTGCCCCCAAAATGCATGGCTTTATCTCCATTGGAATGGGTTATGTTCATCATGTTATTGCTCGAATTCGATAAACATAGGTTATTGCCCCACGAGCCACAAATTGGCTTGATTTCCGCGAAGACATGGCAATCGCTCGGCATTTCGGCTTTTGGGCTAAAGTGTTAACCGTAGGTGGTCGCTTGTCTTGACTCTTTGTAAGTGTCCACTTGGGCCGTAGCCATTTTGGCTCAAGTGGGCACCTCCCTTCTTTTTTGGAACCTGAAACTTCTCATTCCCCTCCTATCAAAGCCATGTACGCCCCCGCCTATGCTGGTGCCGCGGTTGCAGAGGCTAAGGCGAAGGCTAAGGCATCCATGGCGAAGTACCTGGCAAGCCTTGTGAAAAAGGAGGAAGAAGGTTGGACCGTCCTGGCGGCTGAGGTCCCTCAGGCACCGGACGAACGGTTCTTCTCCAGCGCCGACGAGCTGGAGCAGGCCCCACTCATCCCAGCCAAGCGCAAGGCCGAGGATGAGCTGATGGCAGACTCATCCCCTGGGGTGGCGCAGGTGCCGAAGGCCCTGACACGCCCCCCAGGGGCGTTCTTGGAACTTCTCAACCCTCCGGAGCCGGATGTCTCCATGGAGGAACTCCTGGCGGAAGACGAGGAGGAGCCCCCGTTGGAGGAACTCCTGGCGGAAGATGAGGAGGACCCCCCGATGTCCGACACCAAGTGGCAGGGACGCCAGGACCTGATGGAAAAGGCCAGGGCGCAGGCGTCCTCGGAAGGAGATGAGGACCCCGCAGCCCCCCCGCCGGGGGGAAGCGTCTTCACCAAGGCCCTCAAAGTCTCCGAGGGCCTTTACCAATTCAGTGAGGACCAGATGGCGGGGGACTTCCCGTGTTTTGATGCGACCACGGCCACCAGGCTCCGCCGACTTCAGGCCAAGGATGTCCAGCGGCTCCTGCGAGGCTTTGAGGGCCCCCAGCTCAAGCAGGGGGGCCTGGAGCGCGTGATTGAGGCGTTCTACATCGCCAAGATGAAGTATGAGCATGAGGCCCTGCTCAGCACCCCGGGACAGAAGGTTGGCAAGCGCGCTGGCCTGGGGTACGGGGGCCTGGAGAACCGCCCCCTGGGTAAGGCGCCCACCTCCTGGATCTGCCCCTGCTGCACCATGCCCTGGGTGAAGAAGGGCGCCAGGAAGTGTATGGGGTGCGGCAAAAAGACGGAGCCCATCGACACGGCGTCCAACTTGGCCACCCTGGAAATGGCGGGCACGCACTGGCAGCTGACAGTGGATGACCAGGGCAATGCGGTCTGGACGGCGGCCCGGTCCGCAGGTGCCGATGGCCCTGATACGGACCGGGCCCGCGACCTCAAGCTCAGCGCCTCGGTGGACGTCAGCGAGCTGGCCACCGACCCGATGGCGTGCGAGAACCTGGACCAGGCCAGCTTCTCGGATTTTGTCCCCTCCTCGGTCCGGGCGGTGATCAGGAACTGCCCCATGGAGCTGGACGAGGATTTCCTGACGGCCCCAATGGGGGAAAGGCCCCCGCTGCCGGGTGACAAGGAAGAGGGCCAGGAGTGCAGGGCCTTCCACCCGTCGGCAGTGAAGGCCTTCAAAATCCAGACCCGGCTCAACGCCACCACCATCGCCCAGGAGGAGGCCAAGAAGCCTCCACGAGCTTCAAGGAGGGGCCATCGATGGAGGAGGCGATGGGGGCCAACTCCTCAAGAATTTGGACTTGGACCTCTTCCGCGAGAAACTGCTGGATAAGCTGGGCGCGGACTGGGGGAGGCCCACACCGGAGCTCCTCCAGGCCCAGACCACCGCGGAGGAGGCGAAGGCAAAGCACCAGGCCAGACAAGCTAAGGGCGCCCTCGAGACCAGAATGCTCGAGCCCATCAAGCCTCCATTCAGTGCGTGGCCTAACGAGGTCCGAGTTGCCATCGAGACAGGGGTCTTTGAGCCGACCACGGCATGGAGGGACTTCAGCATGGACGACCTCACGTCCCTCACGGACTCTTACCTCGAAGCCAAGGCGGTCATCTCGCTGGGTAGGAACCCCTTTCCGTCGGCCCTCCTGACAGATCTGCCGGATCTGGCGGGGATCCCCATTCCAAAGGCGGGGGGCTCTGGTGCGGCGCGCCCAGGTGCCGAGGGCCCTGACAGGCAGCCCACCATCCCCCCAGCTTCGGGCTCTGGTGCGACGAGCTCAGGTGCCGAGGGCCCTGATAAGCCGTCCGCCACCCCGGGGGGCCTGGATACCCAGGACCCGGAGGTGCAACTCGCGGTCCTGCGCTGGATGATGAGCAAGCGTGTCGGAGAGGTCCGCATCTTCGCGGGCCGCTGGGTCCGGGCCCCGTACACGTCCCGGACTGGGCCAACAACCTCACCAAGGTGAATCCGGAGGCGCTGGAAAAGGGCACGCATCCCAGGAACCACCAGGTGGGTGGACTCCCATGGGCCAGGTACTCCATTGAGGAGCTGAACCAGCAGGCCAAGGGGGACCGACCATACCCCGAGGACCTGCGATCCATCTTCTGGGCGGCCCCCCACGATCCGGATGATGACTTCCACTGGGCGCGCCAGATCTCGTCCTGGACACTCCCAGGCTTGCTGGGGATGTTTGGTCACACTCTGCGCCAGCTCTGGGGAGTCTGGGAGTCCCTGCCACTGCTTCAGGGCCCTAGACAGCGGGGCCCGAAAAACAAGGCCCAGAAGCAGATCCGCCTGGAAGGCTGGGAGACCCTGAAGGAAGAGGCTCGGTGCTTCCTGAAGGAGGAGGGCCTGCCGCTCCCGCAGACGGGACCGGAATGGCGCCTGGTCTACCGGGCCATGGGTAAGGTCCTTGCTGCCCGGGCCTTCCTCACGGACACCCCGGCGGAGGTAATGCAACTCCCGGTCCAGGACGTTGCGGACTCCAAGGAACAGATGATCCTCCGGGCGGTCTGTGATGAGCGCATATCTGTCCCGGTGGAAAGCCTCCAGCAGTTCCCGGAGGTGTACCAGGCCCTCATGGACCGCATTGGAGGCCCGGAGGTCAAAGTCAACTGGCGCTGCAACACGAAGCAGTGGTGGGTCGGCGCAGTCCCCGACTCAGTGGCCCCCTCCATCTACCGCAAGCTCGGCTACACCACCGACATGATCAAGCTCATGGGCCTGGACCCCTCCGCCCCCGGGTGCCGGACAGGTGCCGATGGCCCTGACATCCGCCCCAGGGGAGGAGAGGGCGATGAGGGGATCGTCTACCCCCCCATCACATCGGACAACGTCCACGGCGTGGTGGGCAAGGATTACAGGAAGAAGAACTTCTCGGCAGAGACGAAGCACGTCTTCTGGGCGCACATGGAGTGCGGCTTGGTTCTGAGCTCAGTCACTCCATGGGAGCTCATCCCCAAGACGAAGGGAGAGACCCGGGGAGGCTATATGTGCAAGTACTGCAAGGGGTACTGGCGCGCCGGGGGAGGGGGCACTCGCCTCCTCCAGATCCGGGCCGGCAAGGCCATCCTTCAGTTGGTGCTGGACGAGCCGCCCGATGGACTGTACAACCGCTGGGTCAAGGAACGGTTGGAGTTCTACCGCCGGGTAGAGCCGTCTGCCCCGCTGCGGGATGTCTCCGTGGTGGACCAGAAAGTCCCACGGTTTAGGTTCGGCAACCTCACCCAGACCGGCCATGTTTCAGATGCCATCTGGGAGCTGATTCTCCGGAACCCGGAGGCGGCGGCGCTCAAGCGCATTGACGACATTGCCAAGGGGGCCGCGTGATCATGCAGCACGAGGCCATCCGGAACGGACTCGCATTGTACCCCGGGGGAGGACAGCTGCCGATGGCGCTGATATCCCCCCCGGGCACAGCACAGGCCTTGACCTGTACCAGGCGAGAAAAATGGGCGCGCTTGGGCTGGGCCGGGATGCGCCTGGGCTCCGTTTTTCCCTTTCCGGGGAGGCTCCCTGGGTCCCCCCCCCCCCCTTTTCGGGCGTGGCTTTCCGGGGTTTTGGGGCCCCCCCCCTGTTGTTTGGTTGGGGTTGGCGCCTAGGAATTTGACTCCGGGCTCGAGTGGATCACGATGATGTGGAGGCCCCGCCTCCCTTCCCCGTTTGGAACGGCCTTCCTAGGGGTACCAACCGCGGTCCAGTTGATTTTGCATGACCTTGGATTTGCACCAGTGCAGTCGGACGGGGAAATCCTCGTAGCGTGCTGCCTGGAATGGGTCAAAAAGGACCAGGTTGCCAACCCGGATGCGGTGGTTTTTGAACCGCGACCGTGGACACGAATCGTGGGGATTGCACCCGACGGTAACCATGTCCTGGTGGCCTCGGACACCTACAACTTGATCCTCGCAAGGATACTCGGCTCCCAGCCACAACCGCTGGAGGAGGCGGATTTGGAGCTCGCTACTAAGACCTTGCAGCAACTTTTGTTTCGTGCGGCAGGCGCCAGGCAATCGCACACCTATTCTCCACTGGAAATGGAACAGGCCATCCGGGACCGTGAGGAGTGGATCCTCTCCGGATCGATTGAGGCCCCGGATGTCCTGGCAGTGGCCAACAAGTGGCGGCATTGGAAACCAGGGAAGATCCAAACCCAACTGCCGACATCCCAACGAGCGTTGGAACAGCACTTGCGAGCCAGGTGGCTGGAACGCCTCCTGGGCTACTTCATTCCCTTCCGCCACCAGATCCCCTACATGCACCAGGTGATGGGGGCCAGGGAGCTGGAGGAGTTCGGCCACCTGTTCGGAGATGCCCGTTTCCGGACCATCAGAGCACATTGCTTGGCCTATGAGGGCATGCGCAAGATCGGCTTCCAGAACCTCCCCTGGACGGCCGGGGACGTCAGGCACCTCATGAACCAGGCGGTCACGCTGGAGGTCACCCCGGCGAAGCTCCAGAAGTGGTGGGGCACTCTAAAGTGGCTCTCCATCAAGCTCGGCATGCTCAACGTTGACGAACACAA